TTTTATTACAAGAACTTCTCTTAGCAAATAACAGTGGTATGAGTCGTGCATTGCAGCCTTTTCAGCTGTAATTCAGAGAATGCTCTTAATTTTGTAATTTGGAAGATAAACTTGAATGTAAATGAAGATACATATAATCAAGCATGGAGCCACTGACATACAGAATCTGTGCTATAGACAAGTTACAAGATATTGAAAACATGATTTCAAAATTAAGAGAGGATGTGAATTAAAGACTTAGCAGGCAACATAAAGGTATTTCCAGAACTGCATTTTAGAGACCTCTTTCACCATTATACAGTAATGTAAAGTGATGCTTTGAAATAATAACTGTGAGATTAGAAAGGGTCTAAGCATTCAACAGCCCTATTCAGTCTGTGAGGAAAGTAATTTTAAAATCTAATAAACCGGTGATCTTCACATTAATGCAAGTCTCAGTAAACTTTCAATGTGAAAACTTTATGTCAGTTATAGGCAGTTTCTATAGATACAGTTTCTAGTAAAAAATTACCTTCTAACTAGGAATGTGCAATGACATCAAGCCACTCTGGACACTCACGAAATTAGACTTTCTCACTTGCAAACTGTGATTTTAGTAAATGTCACTGTAGCTAGGGGTGAAAAGGAAAAAGGGACAGAAAATCACGTAACGTATACAAACCACACTCAGCAAAAAAAGATCCTCTCTACAAGCAATAAAAATAATAACTTGGAGTCATCTTTCTCTTGGCAACTGGCTCTTCTCCCCATCCTGTAGCTGTCCCCACACTGCCTGCATTGACTCACAGGCATTAGGTTTTGCGGTACACTGCACACCCCGGCTTAGGTTGCTGGGAGGGCTGCTTCACAAAGCCACAGCAGAGCCTGAAGTTGTCCTACCCATCAGGCGTCCTGGCTGGCTGCCTTTTCTGCCAGCTAGTGTCCCTTCACTTGTGACAGCACTTGGGCCAGTTGCCATTTTCACACTCTACAATTATTTCAGCTTCACCAAAGGAGCTCAGTGCCATACAGACTGGCACAAATCTCTGGACTATAAAACAGACTTCCTAAATAGACCTTGATCTTTCCTTTCTTCATCAGCCATGAATTTCTTCTACCCAGAACTCCAAACTGCAGTGTTAGGGCAGTCATTTAGTCTGGGCACAGCTGTGTTGTCCTTCTCCTCAAAGCATAATTACAGCTTCCGTAATTCCATCACTTTTACTACATAGCCATTTTTTAGCAGACACTGGACACTAAAATCCCACTGTTGTGGACCTGTGACTGATGTGACAGACTTCTTTAGCTGAATGCAAACCTGTTAGGGTCCCTTGCGCTTCTGCTACTGTTGCTCCTACAAGGATTTGCATTTTGCTACATACATTTTGAAGTTTTTTTTTATTATTATTATTTTATTTTCTGCCAAAATATAGTTTTGGACAGAGGAAGGAAATCAATAATATAGCTGAGGACGGGTATTTGCACTGGCACCCACTTTCAGTAATAGGAATTTTAATGATCACTCGAACAAAGAATGCAGTCCCCAAAAGTCTGAAATAAGGAGTCCACTGTAAATGCACAGAATAAATGAAACCTGTTGTATCCTGAACCTTGGACCTTTTCATTCAGCTTCTCCTGCTCCCTATTGGATGCCAGAAGAGTGGCCTGCCCTTCTGGGTTTCCAGTCCTATTCAGTTCATGAGGGAAGGGAGGATCCTCTTTCTTCTTTAGGTCTTGGGCCATAAGACTGAAAACAGGAATGAGATGTTCTAATCCTCTCATACCATGGCAAGCTTAAGCACATCACAGCTTTCTTCCCTAACAGCTAAGACTAATATGGAGTGTATTTGTGAATAAAACCACCTCAGGGTAGAATTTGTTCTTCATCTACCAATATTCAAAATGGTTCTCAGAAAAGCATTACAAAACAGATCATTTCCAATAAATGATATTTAAGTAATTCCAGTGAATGACGCAAAAAAAATGTACACGTGGAGGAACAAGCATATATTTCATTCTGGACTGGTACTAAAGTCAATTGTTCAGCCGAGGTCACTGGATAAACACCATTTAAAGTTACCTTGACTGATCTTTTTCGTTTGGGTGAGCAAGGGCAACAAAATAATTTTGACATCAGAACTGCTGTGGATACCAACTACTCTGGGGTGACAGTTTTGCCAGCACAGCAAAGGGCTTCTCAAATTATCAGACATTTTAATAAGAAAACATTGCAATAAATACTTGATTGTGTTTATACTAAGACAGAAAACACTAACAATATGCCCCACGTTCCAGAAACTCCATTATCCTGCTTTGCATATATCTCGTGCTGTCTCAAGAGTTTAAGAGTTTCTATAGTAGTTCATCTGGGTTTGGCTGCACAGCTAATACAGAATTGGAATATACTATTGGCAATAGAATAAGGAAAGTTTTCTAATTAGTGTACTTGGTTTATGCTGTGTATACAGTTCTCTTCCATAGACCATTATATAACTGTAGTCCTGGGCCTATCCTGGGCTCAATTCCCAAAAATCAGAGAACTGGTCCAACATTTTCAGTGTATTATGTAGTCAAAAATAACTACCAAAAAACAAACAATGGCAATTTCTCCAGAAACCCCTGCTTTACCAGTTATTGCTCTTCTAAGCCAGCTGTAAATCACAATTAATAAACACTTCCTTTAGTTTTCCATGAGCTGTCTCTAGGCACTGATTTGCATTAGATTCTAAACATAGCTGCCAGCAAAAAACTCCCTCCTAATAACGCAATTACACTGCTTTCCCAGTATGAACTGCATCCCCAAATATCACAAGCAGCAACAAGCACAAGCTTCTCATATGCGTGACAGCTGCTAATTGGAAGAGCAGAATACATGTTCCTGTGTTTGTATATCAAAACTACCACTTCTCCTGTGTCCTTCTCAAAACACATCAGTGTCTCAATGTCCCATACAGCTGATACACACTCACCCAATAAGGGTGCTCCTTATCTGGCAGAGCTCTCCTTGGACTCTAGCACAACATCTCCTCACGCTCCTTGGCCTTTGCTCTAGAATAAAGAGAAAGTAACAGGTCACTGGGCAGCATCACTCTGTTCTCCAGGCCAACAAGGAGGTGTCTGGGCCTGCTTTAGCTGCGGTCCATGTCAGATGGCTTCATGGGCATCACTAAGTGACCTACAGGTAGCTCCAGCGAAGAGTAAAAAAGGCTTTTGTAACAAATGCGACAAAATACAGATCAATCAGCAAGTTCATATCCAGAGAAAAGCCTAGTAAAGACTTTGAGGAAGCTCTGTATTTTAATTTCGTTATTAAAATTTGTTATTTAGCAGACAGTTTCCATGTATCTATCTACTTTCTTACACCCAGCCTGTGGAATATCAGTTTTCTGAGGTTAAGAATACTTTTTGTTTATTGAAACATATTGAAAGAAACATATTTTAAATTAAAAAGAATCAGTATCTTGAAGATGGGCACTTAGATTCCTCTCTGCACTCCTAAATGATAAACATAATTCACAAATGTTGTCTTATTTATTTAATAACTGATCACACATAGCACACTGAATAACTAGAGAACACCTGCAGAACTACAGACATGTCCTGTCCCTCAGTTTTGCAGGCAGAAAAATCTAGAAAAGCTACTCCCTGTATCGATTTCAAAGTTTGAACTCACAGCTGAAGAAAATTTTATACAACATTTCCTTGAGTTTCCTGGAAAAACACAGTATGAACTTGCTGATACATACTGTTCCATCAGCTGTGCTTCAGAGATGCATCATGCAGTCCCCTGGTGTAACAGGTACAAACTTTCATTACAGAACTTGTGGGAGCATGTCAGCCAGTGAATTTGAAACACTGTACCACACTGCAGCCCGCAGATGGGAAAGAAACGGAGCAGCTGATGACAGGTATTTTGGGGCTCAAAACCAGAAGTCTGTTCCAAAAGTATTTGCCTTACCTGTGTGACCACACGTGCATTTCTCATGTCGTGCTGAGTGACCCTTGTCGCTGTTTTCTCTAAAGCACCACAGCGGAGGAGAACGTGAAGTGAGCTCACACAGCAGTGAGGCCACACGTCTCCAGCGTGAAACTTTGGGCCTTCAGGTGTGACATGGGGCAACGCTGATGCCAGCCATCGTCCCTGGCCTTCTGTGGCCTTCTCCCTGTGTTGCCTTCATGGCGGCCAGCACGCTACCGCAGCCCCTGCGCACCAACAGGCTCGCATCAGTGTGCCAACGGCGTGGGCACCTTGCTCTGCCGACCTTTCCTCCTCATGGCACGCATCTGAAGCTGTTCTGAAAAATCACCCGAGGCCCGCCCAGCCCCGTTTCACCACTTGGTGACAGCAGGGACGGAAAGCCAGTGGCAACACGGCGCGGTTGGTTGTCATGGGGGGCTAGAGGTGTGCACAAGCCCAGGGATGGGGCACTCCGAGGGGGCCCCGTGACGGGCCCTATGTGAGGGGGGTGGGGGGAGGGCAGATCAAAATGATCCCCGTGAAACCTCCGGGTTCGTGACGGGTCGTGGGGAGCCCACTGCAAGGGGAGAGAGGGAGCGGAGTTACGCCAGGGAGCGGGACCCCGGGGCGGGGAGGCGGCTGGGCCAAAGGCAGGGCCGTCCCCGGGGCGTGGGGCAGGCGCCCGGCACTTTTCATGCAACTCTTCCCTCTTCGCGGGCTCTAATAAACGCGGCTCATTTTTAAATAGCCGCAGGTTGATCACCGCCGCGCTCTGGGTTGGCTGAGCGCCTGCGCAGCGAGAGGCGGCGGCTGCGCTCCGCCTCGCTACGTTTCTGCTTTGGAGGCGGCAAGCCTCGCCGTCATTTGCTTGACACGTTCGTGTTTTCCAACTTCTGCTTTTTTTAAAAAAAAAAAAAAACAAAAACAAAACAACAAAAAACCCCAAGCGGCTGAAGGCGGGGCGCAGGCCCGTGACGTCACCCCAGGTGCTTCCCTCCCCCCCGCCCCGGGAGGGGCGTGGCCTCGGCGGCCACCGGGTGGGCGGAGGCGAGGGCCGCGCATGCGCCTGGCGCCGGCGGCAGCGGGACCTGTGGCGAGTGTATGTGCGCGCGCGGCGGTGGCGGTGGGGCGGGGCGCGCTCGTCGCTCCCGTGTGGTGGGCAGCGCGCGCGGTGCCGGGAGCCTGCCGGCCGCCGACCGGGCTTGCGCTCGGGCTGCCGCCATGTCCGCCGCCATCGAGCAGGAGTTCCAGGAGATTGATGCCACTAACGACTGGCAGGCGCGTTATCTGGTGAGCGACGGGGGCCGCTGCGGTTGGAGGGGCGGGGGAGGCAGGAAGAAGGGCTGGAGGCCGGCAGCGCCCGCTGCCGCTCTGCGCCGCCCCGGCGGAGAGCGGAAATCGCTGGGCCACGGCTCGCTTTCAGGTGCGCGCAGCGGAGCGGCGGGCCGGCGCTGCGCATGCTCCCGGCGGGCGGCCGCGGCTTCTCCGCCGTAGGGCAGCGCGCAGGCGCAGTGCGCCGGGCCGGGCCGGGCCGCATGCGCGCCGCCCGGCGGCAGGGGAGCTGGCGGCGCACTGCGCCTGCGCGGCGGTGCCTTCCCCCCCCCCCCCCCCGCCCCTACCCGCCGTGAGCGGGAGGCGAGCGTGGGTGCGGGGCCGAGTCCGGCGGCTCGGTGTGTGCCGGGCCAGGATGGCTTCTTCCCCGCGGTTTCCACGCAGAGTGGGAAGTTGCACCTGGTTAATGGCTTGCCGTCGCCCCGGGGCGGGCGGCTCTGCCACCGGCGGCGTTGCGCGGCGGTTCCTCAGGCGGCCGCGCACCCTGCTCGCCGGGTCGGTGGCTGCGGGAGGCCGGCGGGGTGCTCGGGAAATGCGCGGCTTGCTTTCTTCTCTAGAAACAGCGGGATTGCTAGCTTGCAACAGCAGGCTTCGGGTCGCTTCCGTAAAACAGACTTCATGTCTAAACTTACGATACTGGAGCAGATATTTGAGACAGTGTGTCTTTAACAGCGCTCTTTAACAAATGAGGAAAACCAACCCCAAACGGAAGTCCTCTTTGATAACTTGAAATTGTGCTTTTTATCTATTAAATTAACAGTGCATTTGATTTACATGTATTTCAAATACATTATCTGCAGACATGCATTATGGAACTGAACTGTGGTTTGAATTTAACAGGGAACAGCAGAAATAGACCATGCTAAATTAAATAGATAAAAACTGTAAGGGAAGAATGCTGCAATCAGTGTTTTTCATGAGATAGAAAAATACACATGCCTTATGTCTGGTATATCCAGACTGAAAGTGTTAGCTTTCCCAAGTAACTTTACTTCTCCAAGTAAAACTAAAAAGTATTAAACAGAAGAGAGAATTCTGTGTTAGGCTCTACTAAACATTGTGTACAGATTTCTGAATTCTACTACAGTTATGCTGTAAATTTTTTTAGTAAAGTTTTCTGTATTAGTATTTTATGTTTCCCTGATTTTGTAGATTTGCACAACATGCAAGCTCAGGATTTTTTCAGGGTACTTAATGCATTTGTTTTATATTAAAACGAGGATACAGATCTACTTAAAAATATAAAGAGAAAATAGCAAATGATGTTTTTACGTAGCACAAACTTGTAGAAGATACTCTAATCACTGACTATTTGTTTTTACACTGGGTTGTTGTTTAGGAATATATTTTCCTATGATGGCATTGTATAAGAAACATACATACTTGCCCTGAGAAGCATAAGTTTCTCTGAAGAAAAAACCAAGTTGGGTATTAGGGTTTTTTTTTTCTTCTTGCTGGGACTGGCTCTGTATATTTGCCCCCCAGTTCCATGAATTTGCCAAGACTTGTGGTAAAATCTTATGAAACATGGAATATTGATGCTGTCTCCTGGAGCTCCTATCCAATCTGAATTAATGACTGAATAAAAAATACGGATTCCCACTTTTTTTTGTTCAATGCAAGTTTTATGTTACATCTGGTATCTGACTTGGTTCTTTTAATTTGTGGTGGCTGGATTGTGGTGGATGGCTGGGAAAACTGAGTTTAGAACTAGTCATTGAAGTTCTTAGGTTTAATTATTTTTAGCAAGCCCTCCCCAGCTCCAGTCACTGTTGTAGAGTTTCTAGCTGTTTTAATGTTTCTTGACCTAATTACAGATCTGTTTCTATGCACAGAGGATGCCAGTGACTTTACAAAGGTGCATCTTCTTATGGAGTAATGCAGAATTTACGTTTCATGGGAACTTGATGCATATATTCAGTGTGCATGTGGTTGCTCTCAAAGCTCCTAAGCCATATAAACTAGAGGAAAAGGCAAGTTCCAGTGTGTTGTATCAAAATAAAAAAACTGGTTTTCTAATAGTTAAAGAGATTTTTATACAAATGTGTAGAGCATTGGTGCTTAACAGGTGGTGCTCCACATTGTGATTTATGTTCTTTACAGGTTGGCACTGCACTTGAGTAATGTTACACACCAGATGCTAAAAAATGGAGCTTCCTTACATATATTAGATTTCCACTGAAGTCCTTTTTGGCTTTGTTCACTGTCTGGGAATATATAGACTGTTTAGGAAGTTTGAGAAGACAAAATAGGTTAGTGGGAACATAGAGAAGACCAAAGAATGCTTAGTTGTAAAGTGAAGTTTAAATATTCTTTGGGACATAATGATCACTGTAGCAATTTAAAAACAAAAGAATTCAGAATAAAATATTGTTAATTCTGTATCATACAACATGTCTGCTGAGATGGCATCAGTAGAGGTATAAAGGGATAGTTCAGTTCACTGGAGACTGCTTGTCTCTAGCACTTCAGGTGTTTTTTTCAGTTGTCTGCGTAAGGTAAATCTGTGTATCTTAGTGCAGTTGTGGAAAAGATATGCTCAGAGGCAAAAAAAAAATAGTAAAACTGAACATACAGAGTATGTGAACAATATGCTCCTTGAAGTTGTGTGTAAGTGAGTATCTTAGAATAACCTCCAAATGCAGATTATTGAAAAATTTGTATGAATGCCCGGGGAGAAGCAGGCTGTGATTTCACATTGATGTTTGTGAGTCTAGAGTTGTTCCTTCATATTGGGTTGTGTTTAACTACAGCTATATGGGTTTAATTGTCAAACCACCAAGAATAATCTTGTGGCTGTTAACAGCAGCCATAAAATCATTAACTAGTTCAATTACCTTTGTGGGGATTTATGCTGTCAGTTGGTGTAAAGGAGCTAGCAGTATATTGCTTTTAGTTCTGTCTGAGTCTCTTATTACTGTGGGAGATAACATGCAAGTCTGAGATAAACTAAGCGTAATAAATATCTGGGGGTTTATCCCCTTTGTCCCTGCTGCATCAGTTGCTTACCAAATTGCACTCATGTTAGTTCGGTGGTGTTAGCCAAGTGCGGGAAGATCTGAATGGAAACAGCTTGGCCAAGAATGAGACACATGTTTTCTGAGTGAAAATAACATTAAGTATAGTAAAGGTTGATTTAAAAATGTTAATTAATAATAACCTTGATTAATCAATAATCTTGAAAGCCTTAGAATAGGATGTGTAGAACACTAACCTTAATCAGCTCACTGGCTATAACTAATTTTTTTTGTCTTTTAAAGGAAATTCGACATAAATCCAGTGACTACCCTCACAGAGTTGCAAAATATCCAGAAAACAGAAATCGAAACAGATACAGAGATGTTAGTCCGTGTAAGTATATTTTCTGTAATTATTGTAGTAAATTTTCTAGACTTTTTGCTTACCCAGTTTACTTTTAAACACTGTAGCTAATAAATCATGGTCACTTCAGGTTTTGTATTTTGATCGTTCATGTAGGCACGTGTCCTGTGATAAATGTGTTTTTCATAACACGTGCACAAATGTATATAACAGAAGGGAGAAGAGTCTGCCAGTTAAACTTAGTTCTGAATGGTGAATGAGAGATGATTGCAAATCATAGTTATTAGTATATAAGTAAATGTTTGTGAGCTGCAAAGTAATATTTTAAAGATATTTTTCTCATAAGGGAATCATTTGTTTAATATTGCTTTATCTGTCATTAAAAAAATCAACATCTGCTGAGCACAGAAATTAAGTTAATAAGCCTTGACTAACACAGACGGTTTCTTTTTGGGCTAAGTGATTCTGCACATTTATAAGATTGTGTGGGTAAATGCCATTTCTACTGTTGCTTTAAAAAATACTTGAGGTTTTGTTATTGTCTGTTCAGAAGAATATATGTGTGAAATTATTTAATTTTCTCAATGCAGGTAGATATGATATGGAGTGTTTTGTATTTTACTAACTGCTATAAAATGGTTTTTGTGACATAGTGATCTTAGATCTCAGGTGAGGACATCTTTTTACCAGCTTCTTTGCTACTGAGGTATTGTGGACTCTTTTTTCAACAGCGTTTACTTTAGAAACTGTAATCCAAAATCATTATAAAAAGGCATGTGAGCAAAAGAATACCGATACGTAGTTACAGCTGGAGAAAGCTATCATAAATCACTTTCAAGAGGACTAGGAAAAAAATTCAGTATAGCCGTAATTTTTCTACAAAATACTGAGGTTGGAACAGGTTAAATGTTTGTGTTCTTTAGTACGAAGTTTCCCAGAGCACCAAATGCTCATAAAAGCCTTCTTGTTACTGGATCTAGTGTTTTTGAAGGGTTGCTGGTATATTGGGGCTTTTTGTTCGAGAGCCTAATCAGAATACCTTTTGTAAGATTTGGAGAAGTGCTGGACTCCGTGTTTCCAGTTGAAAGTTGTGGTAACAACATGTGCATAACACTTCTCAAAATGACACAGAAGGGGTCTCGGATTGAGTCACGCTGGTCAGATGCAGCGCTGCGTGCTGCTCGTTTGGCTGCTGCCAGAATGCCAACTGGCACAGCGTCTTTGCACCGAGTGGATCCAGTCTGGCTTAACACTGAATCTCAATACTGCACTTGGGTGAAACGGAGCTTGCGTTCAGTGCACGGTCTCTTTGCTGTGTCTGCATGGCATTCCCTAGTATGGTGTGTTTGAGAAATGTCCAGCTCCTGAGGAAGATACCTCAAGTTAGTCAGGGCTTACTACCTTCCGCCCTCTGCTCAGCAGTGGGAGATAGGCCTCTGCTGGACCTGTGTTGATCTACGCAGAGGTACTTGGCGTGTCCCAGGCTTGCTGTCCTGTTAACAGCACGGCATTAGCATCTTAGCAGTGGTAAAGTAGATCGTGTTTTATTCACTTCCTGTTTCATACCTAAATTGGGAGGGGAGTTGTAAGAAGAAAAGGCAGAAAATTGAATTTGAACCCATAAGACCCAAGTTCTGTTCTTGGGTTCAATATCCTATACAACTTCTGTGGCAGAAGCTGTATTCATACACTTACCCTTTTTCCCATCCATGGATTTTTCAGTACTTGGGCACTACTGCAAAGAGAATGACAGTTTACCTTCAGTGTGTTAGTGATTTTTCTTTCTTTTTGAAAAGAGTGTTTCTAAAATAAATAAATAAATAAAAAGATGTTGTGTTATTTAAGTAGCATCTGATAATGCCTGCAGTAATATCTTAAAGGTGTGACTTATAATTGTCTCCTGCAGTTTTTTGGAGCTCTGTTATCCTTAATTATAGAGGACCTTTTACAATAGTGAAGAGTACCATGCACTTCTGCCTTGGTCATGGCAAAGCCCGCTGCCTAAATGCTTGTTTAGCCAGGAGGAAATGATGTGATTCTATTAATCCCTGGACCCTGTGCAAGAACAGAGGCAGTTAGATAAAATCTAAACTTGAAGTAGTAGTTGGGCTCAGGAGAGGGTTAGAGTCGTTACGTGCTAGTTGACGTGGAGTATAACAATGACCGAACTGAGATGGTGAACTTTGAGACTTGTCTTAGTTTTTAGCATTTATGAAAGAAAGGTTTGAACTGGGCACCAGGAGCAAGGCTGTATGAGAACAGAGCAAAACCTGGTGTTTGAACTAATTCCTGTTGAACTTTACATCTGTGTGTTTTCAAAATGTGATTCATAATAGTTTCTGTAACAATGGTGAGAATTGAGAGGAGAAAGAGACCTGGAAGGGAATAGATAATAAATAACGTTCTAAGATAGCAGTGCCTAGATTTCAAAGCAGCTGCGGTAAAAGCCGTGTGGTTTGGTCACTGTGGTGAACACATCTAGTCATGGTGTGTGTATGCAAGGAACTGGCGTTGTAGAAATGAAAGGCAGCTCAGTCTTACACAATCATAACGTCTTGGTCCTTCACTCGGCAAATTTTACACCTCTTTAGCAGTGTTTAAATGAAAAATATGTGGCAGTACTAATATTCTCTGATGGTCAAAGGCCTTCAGAACTAGCAGTTAAACTTAAGATTTAGCCGGTCTAAATCTGAGATGGTATGTCTGCAAGAGGAAAGGCAAAGATTATTCTGTTTTACAGAAAAGATGTCAATTCCCAGTGCAGGAAGAAAATGCAAGAAAGGCTGGTTTGCCCAATTTCAACCACACTACTCGGCACAGATACTGAAACCCATTTGTGTCCGTTACCAAATTCAACTTGGAAATATATGTTATCTGGGAAAGGCTAATAATCTTTGCCCATTAGAGTTGTTTCATATTGTCTCCAGTTTCATAAATATTTTTATTAGTGTCCAGTTTTGTTGGCTGAAGAGCTATGGTGTGTGTAAGTCTGTTTGGGTAAAAGCCTTCAAGAGTTACTGCCTAGCCAAAAAAAAAGCAGTCTAGCAGTTTGGTATTAGTCTAGAATAGGGAGAGGAATATTTCGGCTATGTAGTACTACTGAAACAGGAAGTTAATCTGAAATAGGTTTGGTTTGACAGCCAGTCATTTCCTGACAGATGAAACCATTTCTCAGAAAACATTAAGAAAGGAAAATCACTTGTGATATTATTACTCTTTATTGATAACTTAATGAAACTCTAAGATTTCTGTTACTACTTTACTTCTGAATCTTATCCTAAGTTGATATCAGAGGAGTCTGGTGTCTCAGATTGACTGTAAACACCTTTAGAGATCTGCTTACTGTGTTCCCAGATTTTAGAGGCAAGAAGGAAATCCCCTCAGCAAAATTGGCTGGATTTTTTTTTTTTCTTTTGCTTTGGAGGGTAGATGGGGGTTGACACAATTTTATCTTTAACCTTCCTTTGTAATGTGTTGTGTAGCCCAATACCTTAGGTAATACAAACACTTTTGCCTGACAGATGATGTTGCTGTTGGAGGATCTTGAGAGGTACTGATTTCTCTTGTTTTCTTCCTGTGGCCATTAGTAGTAGACTTTGTGCTGGACCTTTCAACCACTGACTTACTGTTGTCCTAGAGTATATACCAGGGAGAGAGGAAGGTAAAGACTGTTGTGCTTTACAGGGATCAGAGTTTGAGCTGATGCGGACGGTTTTGCACATAGTGCTGATTAATCATCATTGCAAAAATGTTCCCTTTCTGTCCTGTGTTTTGAGTATATGTGCTGAGAACAGGGAGATGTTCTGTCCGAAATAAGCCTACTGCACTTCTCGTTGGCCATATTAGAAGCTGACATTGATGATTTTTATGATATTATCTAATGATTCTCTAAAACATCTTGTTACCAGAAACATGGTGTAAATAAACCCCACATAGGGCTTTTGGAGATAATTCTTTCTTTCGGGTTGTGGAAGAGGGGAATTTTATAGCACATACTGATCTAAACTTTATAGTATCTGAAGTTTTTTTCACTGTCCTGCTTAGAAGTATAAGGATCCTATGCAGTAGTGATGCATATATTTCAGTTACGAGCTAGGCCATGATTGATATGGTGGCATTCATTGTGTCCAACCAGTGACAGGGTAGGGAAAAGTCACTTTGCCTTTCCTTTGCCTTAGGCTACCTCTGAAATTTGAGACTGTAAGTCTAGTGACAGAGTATCATAATTTGAATAATTTAGCAGCTGAAATAGACTAGATTTAGATTAGTGCAGTGAAGGGTATTTGCTGGCAGGTGGGAAAGGGTCAGTCTGGGTCATTGCCATAGATTATGGCTACGTGTTTTATTTAAGACTTTCTTTAATCCACAAAGTAGCATTTCACTCTCCTTTGTTGTTAATAGCTCAATGTTTGGGGAGCCGGAGAGATCTCTTGGGTAAAAGATAATTTTTATCTTATATAGTAGTTTCACTTCTAGAAACGCAGTTCTTTTCAAATAAAAACCTTTTATTAACCAACTGCAAGAACTGTATGATGTAAAATGCCAAACATTTCATATCTTAGTTTTAACAGAATATGTAATTTTCTTTTTGGCAGGGAGTGGGGAAATTGATGTGTGATGTGAAGTGTTGGCTTTATTTGATACACAGGGAGTGTTGTCAGCGATACCAGTGGGACAGGGCTTCTCTTGAAGTGGGTAATAAGAGTTTGCTTACCTGAGACAGGGTCGTTCTGGGAGTAATTTTATTAGTGCAGGAGGCAGAATGAGAAGCATTTTTAAGGTTTCCACTTCCTTTTCAGGCTACCTAATTTGTGGAAATAGGGGAATTGGAACTTCAGAAAAAGGAGTACTCTATTTTAGTTGTGGGCATGGCAACATTTAAGATAAGATTTAAGATAGGTTTATCATTCATATAAATCTAAAGTACTTAGTAACTGGAAACAATTTACATATGGGAAATATGTTACAGCTAACTCACTGTCAAAAGTTGGCTTGCTTCACTTAATTCAGAAGAGCAAGCCAGGGCTTGAATGAGGTTTCTAGGTCATTGTGTCCTTTAGGAATCTTTTCGCTTGAAAGAAGGAAAATCAGTATATTCTAGTGGCTTGCTTTCTTCTGTGGAGTGTATGCCAGTGTATTTGTAGGATTGCTTCTGTTTTGGTTGGAGAGGAAGAGAGAGGCTGCCTGTGCATAGAACTAGCTGTTAAAGGGGCTTTGAAAAAAACTTTCAGAACTTTGTTGTGTTTACAAAGCAAAATTTATAAGGAGAAAAAAAGTAAGGCTGAAAATGTGTGTAAGCAATACAGTAGGAAACCTCATTAGGGCCTCGGCAGTTATCTCCTACTGGCAGTGATACAGCAGCTGCTGCTGGGTGATTGAACTGTTAACAGTGCCTGCTTACGTCATCTTTCCGAGAACATTAGTACCGGTATGTGTGATTTACTATAACAAGATCTTAAGTTTTTCCTGTTGGCAAATGACATGTAATATTTACAAAGGTCTTGGTTTCTCTCCAGTAGAAACATTTCAGATAAAGTAATACATGAAAGGAGAAAGTAACACTTTCCTATCCAGCCAAAATAATCACAAGGAGCTATATTTTACTTTAAAATGCACGTGTCTTAATTTTACTGTGTTTTGGCTTTGATAATATTTTTTCTTCATACGGATGTATCATAAGTTGTTTTAAGACTCCTGAAAGTCAAGACGGTGTTGCCTTACAGCTGGAATGCTAATGAAAATAGACTAAACCAGTAACTTTCTCATACGTTTATATGAAAAATAGGTTTTCAGCGTACTTCTGTTCTCTACACGTTTGTATGTGACTGCATACAAAAGCTCGCAGCTAAAGGAGGTAGGATAACAACCCAAATCCCAGTCCTTAACAAAAAAACCAAACCCCAAAAGTAGTAATTTACTGTTCACTTCTTTCCTTGAATCCAGCAAAATCCTCTTTGACAGTTGTCAATAGCATATAGATGAGGGAGAGTATTAAAAGCAGGTCAAGATCTAGTAAATGTACTTTTTCCAAGTTTCCAAACATATGGAAAGCATTTATAAAATCATATGAGCCGTCCATAGAACAAGAGTCTAATTCAGTAACTATTTCTTGATTCTCATCAGCTTTTCCACTTATCTGGGGTCACAGTCAGGGATTTCTTAGATAAGCCTTGTGGTGTATGGACTGGATGTGATATAGGGAATTAATCTGAGTTCAGCTATCATAGCTGCACTGAGTGTGATACTTGGTAGTTGCTTATGTCAAAACTCAACTGACTTTGTGCGTTTTCCAAGATCTTTATCAAAAAGAGATTAGCCTTTTGGTGCATGAATGGGACAGGGAAAAGCGGGCTGACATCTTAGCAGCTGTGACATCAGTCTGCACACCGAATGAGTTGTGTGGGTTAGACCAGGTGAACCTAGGTTAAAAACTGGCATTGCCCCATAATTCATTCTGAGCTCTGTCAGTTTCTTTATGGAATGTCTTCTATCTCTTCCTGAAATGTGTTGAAGTCTCAAATTCATTTTGGTTTGCTATTTTTTAGTTACTCTTCTCTTAAACAGTCTGTCTAGACCGTTGAGCTTCAGGGGGTTTGGAGTCAGTTGGATCTGATTTCCTGGCATGCAGTTGTGTACAAATTTTAAACTAAAAATGTTGTTTATTTAATACAGTTCTAATAAATGGCTGAAAGATTACTTACCGTGAACAAGTCTGATTACCTAAATGTCTCCTAGAGGGGGATAAATCACATACTAAAAGGTACTAGAGACAGTCACAGTGACTTTATCAGACTGTCATACTAAAACACTGTGTAATAATCTTCCTCATTATTATATTTTTAAACGGAGTCCTTTGCTTGCCTCTGCCATAAATAGGGGAATCTTCTGTCTTGCCTGTGTAATCATGAGCGACTGAAACTGTGTAATTAGATTAGGCTTTTTTTTAACTGGAAGATTTATTAAATAGGTACATTTTTTTCACAGTCCCCTTCTTTATATTTCTAATTTGTATGTTATCAAACAATAAATTACAGGGAAAATTAAATGGATCAAATCTTGGTCTGAATTACAGCAAGTATATATTTTTCCTTTTGTTTTTTAGCTGTGTGAGTTTAACTTTATGATTCTACCTCAACCTATGAAACTCCAGTTCACCAAAAATCTCAGAATTCTGAACTTAAAGGGAACCATGCAGGAGAGTGATCTGATGTGATAGGACAGTGCTGCCTGGTGTGGGTTGTGATGCTGTTCTATTAAGGAAATGCAACTGTTAAGGGATGACTGTGAGCATCTTGGTGTGTGTGGGAGGGTTGTTTTGTTTGGTTGTTTTTTAAAGAAAACTGGATATTCCAGTTTTCTGAGCAGCTTCTATTAATAGCTGCCTGAAATTAATCTGATAGAACGATGAGGGGAGAATGAGACAGGCAGTTATCAAAGTTACATGAGAAATTAGTTTCACATATGTTTGTAGTTTGCCATTTGGTTAGTACTGCAGAATTTATTTCTAAATGCTTATCAGACCTAAACTTGCGTGTTAAGAGGATTCATCAAGATGGGTGCCTCATTAATTCTAAATGTTCTTTTGAATTTTAGATGATCATAGTCGTGTAAAACTGCAGAACACTGAGAATGACTATATCAACGCCAGCCTAGTGGTCATAGAAGAAGCCCAGAGATACTATATTTTAACACAGGTAAGTAATACCAATTACTAGGCTGTTATAGGAATTGAGAATCTGGGGGAGGGGGATTTGTACAGTTGTAATTGTATTTGGATGGTTCCTTGTCTCTGTATTATATACATCTCATACTAAGTGCCTGCTTGATCTAGTTGTGAACATACTATTTTATATGTTAAGAAAAAGCTAAAAGGAATACTTAAATGTGAATAATTTACTGCATATAAGGCTTTTCAAGAATTTCTTGCTCTTTCCTTCAGTTCTTTTGGAAATAGGTTGCAACAGTACTTTTACCCCCTATTTCACTTGTACCTTCTGAGCATGCCTGCAGTAGCTTTTCTTCTAACAGCACAATAGCATTGATGCCCAAACTGACATATCTCTTCCCTGAGTTCTTACTGTTTTGTTGTTTGTTTTTGAAAAACCCAGAACCAACCACTTTTTAAGTTACTGGAATGATCTGTGCAGTGTGGTTACTTTCTTGCCTGTCATTTCTGTCATTCTATTAATAAATTGTTTAAACTTTTCAGAGGAAGACTTTTTCCTGTTTCACACAGTGAACTATTAACTGTGTTCGAATAGTGCTTTGCCTATACATTCTCACACCCACTTTTTTTCTTTACCCCACAGGGTCCACTACCTAATACATGTTGCCATTTTTGGCTAATGGTATGGCAGCAACAAACCAAAGCAGTTGTCATGCTGAACAGAACTGTTGAAAAAGAATCGGTAAGTAATATTAGGCCTAAAACTATAAAGTTAGCCACGTAATTTTAATACAGTTGAACAACGTTTGATAATTATGTTAAAATAACTAACAGACTTTCTCACTGGTGTACAGCATAACCTGTATTTAATCAAACACTAAAGTGGTGGAGCTAAGACAGAAAATTCAGTTTGGTGAAATCCAGAATGGTGAAAGTAACACCCTGAGAAATTAGGATGTACAGACAGAAATAAGATGGAGTAGAAGCAGTGTAAGATACTCTAGAACAAAATGGAAGGTGGGAAAACAAAGTTTAAATTGAAGTATCTTTAGACTATTTCCTCTAAATTTAAGAGTAGTGTATTTTGTTACATAGTTATCTTGTTTGTAACAATTGAAGACAAGCTGCTGCCCAGCAACTGTCAAACAGATCTAGTTATTTTTGACTTTTTTACAGCGGGTGGTATACGTGCAGAAAACACGAATCTTCAGTTATGATGTAGTTTTTCTGCTAAGGTGCCTAAAACCACTGTAGATTTTAGTTATAAATGCATGTCATATGAGGTTTATGGTTTTTCTTCAAAGTAGATTTGTTAGTGAAAAAGATTTGACTAGTCCATTGAAAAGCCACTTATTTTATTAATGCAAAAATTTTCCTACAGAAAGTTTGAGTGCAAGGTAAGAGCATTAAAAAACAAGGGACAGTTTTGCATTACTTTGTTAGTTCTTTCTGTTTCACTAGAGTCTTCCTGTATTCAGCAAGCCTTGGTAAAACTGGATGTGTTACATCAGTTATGTAAATGTGCAGGTGTGCACATCAGAAATGGAGGGGGGAAATGTGGTTGAAATAACTGAATAAAGATCTCTGTTCACTATAGAGAATTGGAAGGGAGAGAGGGAGAAGGGTTAAGGTATACCTCAAAACATGCTAGCCCTTTGAAAGAAAGCATAAACAGATAAAGCAGGAATGGATAATAGGTTTGGAAACAGTTGTAGTAACTTGTCTGTAAACATTAGGGACTTTGAGAATTCCTCAAACTGGAAGCAGGTACTTGAGTCTACTGGATTGAATAATAGGGTCTCAGAATCTGCTCATGCAAATCCCAAGATACTAGGATACTTAACGAGATTTTTTTTTCCCCATTTTTTTTTTTTTTTTAAATACATTAGGTGAAGTGTGCACAGTACTGGCCAACAAAAGAAGAGGAAGTTATGACATTCAGTGAAACAGGTTTCCGTGTGAGGCTAGTATCTGAAGACGTCAAATCCTATTACACAGTAAATCTACTGCAATTAGAAAACACCAACGTAAGCTTTTCTCAGTCTGTATAGCTGATATCCCTGGGCTTAAGTATGTAATGAAAAACTGTTTAGCTTATTGTCACTGCGGGTTTGTTTGAGCCTTCACACTGAAAATTTTAGCACACTTTGCTTCTGATAATGTTGAAGATGTACGTGTGGCATATAATCAAGTGAGTTAGACCTGAATTAATCTATACCTTAGAAGAGATAACAGCTTCATCATTTTTATACTTACATTTTCCATTTGACAGTACCTTAACATGCTGAATTGTAATTGTTGGTAGCGATGATTCTAAGAGGAGCTGTAAGAAATACCCTAAAAGGAGGAACCCTGGAGTTGAAAATTCTGACTACTTCTGGGTATCAGAAATCAGACTCAGTAATTACTGGTTTTTAATGGAACTTAGTTTTCCATATAATTCAGTCCAGCTGTCTAAGTCTTTTGGGGGAGGGGTGATTACCACCTGTGGATAGGTAACTTTATCTCCTCTTGCTTACCTCCCGTTTTGCTCCGCAGGACCAACCATCCTTTTCTCTTAAAAATTAAGCACTTTGACAATTTAATCAAGTTAAGCTCAGAAAAATTGTTCCTGGCCTGAGCTTGGGTTGGAATTTGCTGCTTCTGTTTCAGAGCTGAAGACAGGATTGAAGAGCTTGTCTGTTTGTTCCAGCTATGTCTTGTAAGATATTCTCTCTCCCTTATAAACCTTGCCTTATATTAATTGAAAGTGCTCGTATGGCAAGTTTTACTCAAAATTGTCTTGTCAGTGGATTTGGGAAAGGAAAGCTTGAAGATGCTCCTTTGCATGTTGTTTTATACAACTAAACATTGATCTATTTGCTCAAAATAATTCGAATTTATGGTAACTATTAATGGTACTTTGAGATAATGTTTGTTAATTTGAAACCTCCCTCATGAGATCAACATTATAAGACTTGGCATGTTGTTCCTTGGTCTAATCAATTTAAGAAAAGCTTTATGAAATTCTCTCCTGACCTGAAGAATTTCTGTTTAGTTCTTTGTTTATTGACAGAAAAGGCAAAGAAAAAAAAAAATAATAATGCTTGCAAGCTAGTGCCTGAGAAAGAATAACGCTTCATTTTGGAAAGCTGAGGCAAGTTTTCCCAACTATTGAAAAGGCTTTTTTGTGAAATTGTCTGGCTGACATTGGCCCCTGATCATAAACTTCCTGTTTTCAACGGATGCAATTTTCATAATATGTGTATGTTTGGACGTAATATTAGCTGGAAAATGCAGAAATCCTTTGAGGAACAGCACAACGTACATGATAGCAGACTTTTGAGTTGGAGCTACTGATCACTTAATTCTCTGGGTTTGCTTTGGACTGGTAACACAAGCTCATCAGTGCTGTACAGAGTTTCTTGTAAATAAGATGTAAATCAGTTTCACAAATACTTAGCAAACTTACTGTATTGAATTTTTACTTTAATGCCCTAGGACTCCTGTAAGGCTCCACTGAATGTTAACTCCAAAGAATAATTTTTATATAAAACAACTACAGGAAAGAGACCATACTTGGTTACTCAAACAGAAAAACTAAATAGTTTCTGGAATAACACTGTGAATGTTAAGTGCAGCCTTCTGTAAGAATTTGATAATTACGCCATAAAACTTGTGGGAACTGAGTATTCACAGTAACTTGAAATGTGAGCTTAACTATGTTTATACAAGCTATTCTGGAGGGGACTTTGGTGGAGGCAGAGTAATAAGACATTTAGCCACTTGACGCCTGGAATATAAGATGACTCACAAAGTATACTCTGAATTCCAAGAATACTTAAGGAATTTTAGTATTTCCTTGAAAACAGAGAGAACTAGAATTCTCTTTATACTATAACCATTCTGAACTTAAGTAAATTTGTGTTGCTGCAACATAACCAGAACACTTACGTATGAAGATAAAGTGCTTGTTTAATGTTGTTACCAATGAAGCAATCTCTGGATATTTGGTTGTTCTCAGTGGTGGTGTTTTTGTTTTGTTTTGTTAAAGATCAGTTAGAAGTATAGGTGGGGCTTTGGGGGGAGGCAGTGTTTAGATTTCAGGATTAGATCAAGGCATTTGGTGGTTTGATTTGTTTATATCTGTTCTAGGCAAATATTTGGTTTTGCTGTTAGGGCTACTGTAGTCCAATAAAGCTTTGGAGAGGACATGGTGTTTATTGGTATCTTTCCAAAAGTTTTGAAAGTATTTCTAATGTGCTTTGTCTTGTTAGTGATTATTGTAGAATTTCCTTAGTTTTTGCCTGACCCAGTCTGCATTTTAGAATATGGAAATTTGAAGCTGCCTTTCCACCATAGTTCATTATGTGTCCTCCATTGTTTTGTTGGTGTCAACTGCCAGCTCTTCTGAACGTTGACAGCTGCTTTCTGCTGTCATTGCTGAGCTTCAGAAAGCTCCCTGAGGAAAGGTGGACTGTGAAGGCTTCCACAAACCCTTGACTCAGTTGGAAAATAAGGGTAGAAGGAAAATACTGTGCTCGTGTTAAAAATTCATAATCCTTTATGTGCGAAGCTATTGCATGTCTGTGGTTTGAATTAAAGTCTCCCAGTATACTTGGGGAAGTGATAGGTGTTTTGAGAGACTTAGGTTAAATCTGTAAAATAACCTTATTGGCTGAGGTTGCAAAGTTTTGCGACTATTACCAGAGTTGTTAGATATCAACAGTTAACCTCTGGAAGACTCCACCTTGTGTTGAATATGTATTTGTGTATTGTTCTTTATTGCTCCTTTTAGTTTTCATTGTCACAAGTGTAAGTACTGGTCTTTAGAGGAAGAAAACTTCTGTTTTCGGTAACTTCTGATGTGGCAACCCACGTAGCCTAGAGAAAGATACAGTGTGACACAAAATGAATGCTTATAAGCAAAACCCCACTAGGTTGGTACTGGCGAATTCAGGGGAGCTATGGGAGGACAAATGAGCATTAGTACTTGAGGGAAACCAGGGATTGACTGGGTGAGGAAATGGAGTAGTGGAAAGGAACTGAAATTGTTGGAGGAACCTTGATGAATGTATCTCTGACTGAGTTCCTAGAAATAAGAGTGTAACAGTTGAAGAAGAGGTTTGGTAAGAAAATATTTGCTGGAGGAGAAAGGACTGGAAGAGATGAACTAGATCTGATGTGACACTGGTGGTTTGATACTTTAGATTAAGCACCATTAATAAACCCCAAGTGGAATCTTGAGTCCTCTGCAAATAGCAAATATTTGGAAAAATCCATCAGGAAAATGGATTCTCAACTTAGTACCAAGCCTCTGTGTGGCCACTGCTGTCAAATTGGGGTGATGCAAGTCTGCTTACTGGCCCTCACTGTCCAATGCTGTGGATGAACCAGGAAGAGTCAGTGTAGTTCAGGAAGATGAGATTTGCTTTGGTGCTAGTTGACAATGTCCCAACTTTTTAAACATACTGAGAAGGTCTTTTGTTTGTGCAAGCAAGCAATCTAATAGCAGACAATATTCTGGGATCTCGTGGTATCTTTGTATATAGATGTGTATATGTATGTAATTCCTATAGTGTTTTGAAGGGATTTCTGAAACATGGCATACGCTAGCTTTTAAACTTCTGGGATGTCCTCATATTATTTTGTTGTACTGCAACAGGGGTTAATTTTGGTCTTCATGACCACAGAAATAAGACCGAGTTGTTAGGAAGGGCGTAAGGGCATTGGTGTCTAACTGAAAAGGAAAACCCATACTCACTTGAATGTCAAGTGTTTTGAAGATTCAATTGGCATAATTATTACCATGTTGACTTACGGGATATGCACTAGTTACTAAAAAAAAACCAAACCCAACAATGTTTGTGGGGATTATTTGGCCCCATTATCTTCACTGTCATTTTTATGTACGTTTTGAAAACCATTTTGCCAAGTATTAGAATGAACAAGTAGAAGAGGTGGTGATAAAAGTTGATTTAAGATTTTGAATTTCAGTGCTTAGAATATTGCTCTTACAGCATGCCTTCCCATTATTATGCGATCAAATTAGTTGTTAATGCGCTTAGGCATGATCATTAAATACAGGACCAGTATGGGGTTGTAGGTATATTTTATGCCTTCATATGTTAGGCCATTTCAGTAGCCCTTAAACTATGAAATTAAGGCTTTTATTAGTAGTATGTGAAATTTGACAGACCAGCATTTTTCTATCTTCACCTGCTCTACTTGACACTGAAAGCGTCAACTGCCTTTAAGCATTTCGGTAGTATTTTATTCATGTTCATACTCTCAAGTGACTGAACATCCAGAAGTTGTTCCAAGATTTTTGTACCTTTCTGTTTTGAGTGATTGGATAGTCACTGTAAAAAGGTTATGACAAGTCTTGTTTTGATGAAGGTTAATCTAGTGGCATTATGTTATTCTTCTGCTCAAGTCCTCGTGGGTGTCTGCTTGTAACCTGGAGCGTGGCTTGTGGTTTGATGGTCCTTTGATTATTCTGTTAGTGTTGCCAGCAGTCAGTGGAGAACTGTGCAGTGTGGTGGTAGCTGAGTTTATCAGTTTTAGCTATGTTGATCATTTACTGAAAGCTGATCCCAGTAGTTCGTGAAACTTTCACTAGAATTGTTTGACTGATTTGAAAAGTTATTTAAATGTTGTCCCTTGATTATTCAAGGATTTTTTTTAATTTTTTTTTTGGTAGCTAGTCTTAGGGAATAAATCTTGGAAGAATATGTTGTTGTTACCATAGAGTAAGCTGATCTTCAGTTACCATGCAGAAATACGTTCCCTGTGTATAACATACATAAAATTTTATATTAGTGCCTGAGTCCTGAAGTCCAGCTTTTTTCTTTAAAAATATATCTAGTTTCCTGGTAACACTTTAAATTAGTTGTTCTTTAGAACTGAATTTCTGTCCATCAGCAGTTATGAATCTTCAGGAAGCCAGAACTTTTCTCATTACTGTCCTGCATCACTTCACGTAATGCATGGCTCAGTGAGAGGGGGAGTTCTGTAAAAAAGGGTGGTACAGATGATCACACAAAGACAGTATTTCAGCTGTACAGCTTGACTGCCAAGCACCACTTGAAAGAGCCATTCTGTTTAAGAGAGAAAATGTGGGAGGTTTGAAATATTCACATGAGATTTGGCTTTAGGATTAGAAATTGCAAGTTCAAAGACAACCAGCCAGTTCTGGTGCCCTCATGAAGAAAGATGAAGAGACTAGGTGTTTTTAAAATGAGCTGAAGGGATGGAAAACTGGGATGGATAAAGCCTTTATACAGTGTAGGGAGGGGAAAAAAGTAATTCTCTGGGTTAGAGCTGTATGCAGTGTACAACAGCACTGTTTAATCTCTCATTTAGAAATACTTATTTTCAGATTAGTGTATGAGAAAGGTGCTTGATACAGTATGGGATTTGGAAAATAAAAAAACAAACAAGCAACCCACAGATCACCTTTGTTTTCTATAGATAAGGGTATTTTTGCCTTCTTGAGGTATAAGGGAGGCATTCATCTGGAATGATATTTAAGAATCTTGAGGGGAAGTGGGAGAACGCTCCATTACCACCTCAGAGCATCATCTAGATTCACAAGAAACGACTTTAACCTTTGCTTTACCTTGTAAGTGCATTTAGCTCTTATCTCCAGTTTTCCTCTTAACTTTGTGAATTGATGAGTTATTTGTCTTAGAAATACAGGAAAATGCGTAACAGTGTTACCTTCTTTAAAATTCTGTAATTTCCATGTTTCTTATAAAAAAATGTATCTTCATGATTTTTAAACAAACAGGTCATTTCAGTTGATTAGTGAGTTAACTTACTAGGTAAAAAAACAGGTACAGAAGACCAGTAAGATGATCTCAGTTGAAAATGCAAACTGTGGGGTTTTTTGTTTTTGTTTTTGTTTTTGTTTTTTTTTTTTTTTAATGCTTTGCTCCAGACAAATAAGAAAGGGAAATCCCAGTGTATTTACACAATTAAAGATTTCCACTCCGCGCCTCCCCCCCCCCCCCCCCCCCCACTTTGAAGTCTTACTGTGTACCCATTTTCCCAGTATGATGGATCAGACTCTCTTCTCCTTGTTGAGCTCTTAGCTGAAAGACAAAATATTCCAGGAAGATAAGCGTGCATTTGAGAGTAGCATGAGTCATGTTAATATCCACTGTTTTCTGTGAAAATATTGGCAGTCTTGCAGTATCAGGCACTGAAGATGAAAAAGAAAATGGGAGAGTGTTTTTGTTACTGTGGTAACTATGAACTGGATTATTTTAGTTTCACAAAGGAGTTTCGTAAGTTGTCCTTCATAAGATGTTGAAACAGACTGAGCAGATGAAAGACAGTAGAATTTATCTGAATTTCATAGCTGTATCTTACTGTTGCTGAAAAAGAAGAATAGCTTTCCTGGAATACATTGATATGTAAAATCTTGTGTTCCAACTTTGTGGACGTTTATGTAGGTTTAAATTCAGGTGGAAAATAAGATGAAATTGAGGGGAGGGTAAAAATAGCTGGATCTTTCTAAAATTCCTGAGCTAAATCACTGATCAAGTTTTCTCAAAATGACTATGGCAAGGAGTAGCATTTAACATCAGGTCTGAAGTAAGTTCCATAAAAATATGATCCAAATTTGTCATCGAAGCTTTTTGGATATATATAAACTCTCTTGCTGTCGTTTCAATACTTAGAGTTAGTTGGTTGTGTCAGGAGAGGAGCTGCATGGTTCTAAAACAACTGCATGGTTTTAGAATCCTTTCTTACTTACAAATAATTAATATGTCTAGCAAAAATATTGCTAGACATCCTGCTGTATGGGTTCTTATAGGCCTTCTCCATAAAGCTTCCTGTTCCTCCCCATAGTGTAGTTAGTATAAAGGAGATGCTAATACCTCTTGACATTAAAACTTGGCTCTGAGCAAGAGTGGAGAATGTTTACAATGCTGATAGGTATTTTTTTCAGTCATATTAACGTGAGCAGTCTAATAACTGCTGTCAGCCATTAAGCTTCATTAATGGCAGAAAAAGAAGAAAATTTGGGAGCAAGTAGTAAAGCGAACCAAATAGTATATTGAAAGTTCGAGGGGAAGAAATAAATGTGTATGTTAATAACTGCAAAGGGGAAAACTACCAACTTGAATGAAAAACTGTTTCAGGTTGCACTGTTGGTTGTCATCCAACTTGAAGCAAATTATTGGATTTTTTTTGTCTAAATGGGAGGTTTAAAATAGAAAATGGCTATTGATTCAGATTGGGGAAACATGTGCTAACTAAATGGAAGAAGAATACTTTCTAGTTGTATTGTTTATTTGTTTTCACTTCTAGAGTGGTGAGTCCAGGATGATCTTTCATTTTCATTATACTACATGGCCAGACTTTGGAGTTCCTGAATCCCCGGCTTCATTCCTGAACTTCCTGTTTAAAGTCAGAGAGTCTGGTTCCCTCAGTCCTGAACACGGGCCTGCAGTCGTTCACTGCAGTGCAGGGATAGGACGTTCCGGCACGTTTTCATTAGTAGACACTTGCCTTGTCCTGGTAAGTATTTGTTCATGTTCTCTGTCACCTCTTCCCTTCTCCTGACACCCTGCCTCCTTTCCCAGTACAGGCTTTTTGGTCAGAAGGCTTTAAAAACATTCATGCCCGGGAAAACTTTAATTAAGACTTTATGCTTTTTCCTTCACATATTTTGATGGTTTAAAAACACAGCTCTTGAAATACATTTACAGATCCATCTTGAAGCACATTACACATTTTCCAAGCTTCCTGGAAAATAAATAGTAAGCATTCTTTTGCTTTTATATAAGATATGCTTAGAAAAAATTGAGGTTTTCCTCTCTTTAATATGAGCTTAAAGTTAGGCTTGTGAATATGTAAGTCTTTTTCTCTGAACATGGAGTATCTTGCAAGTCTGACAGGCCCCTTTTCTTAAGGTTGCAGAAAATTGGTATCTGAACTAGGATGAGAACTTGGGCGTGCCCCTGGATCTCATGCAGTGTGTAATGGAGGATGGTGCAGTTTCCTTAGCTGTGCCAGCCCCCGGGAGGGGGGGCTTGGTAGCCAGGTGCAGTACCACATGAATGAGTAGGTTTTTTGCTTATTTGGTGAGCTGCATCACCTATAATTGCTCATGACTTGAGTGAACTTTAAATGTTAAATAATACTTAAAATCTCTATTTTTTTTTGTTGATTTTTAGAGTCCAGCCACAAACTTCTTGTTTTTGGCTGTGCTTGGTAACAGTGAGAAGTGCAGACCAGGGTTATATGTAATAGGATTTTGTTTAAATTACAAGATGCTTCTGGTTTGGTTAGGTCCTCTCAATTATTTTTTTTTATTTTCTCTTCATTTTTATGCATTTTGAAAATCACAGGTGTATATTTTAATGTAAGTATACTTAAAAAATCAGAAAAATGACAGTGAACATTGCAAGAAGTGCAGGTATGTAGTTTAAAGCACCTCGTGAACATAGTGTGGGGACAACTGTGTGCATTGTGCAGACTGGGGATTCTGCTTTAAATAAGGAAACTTGTTCCACATTCTGTCATTCCAAATTGTTGTTCCATTCAGGAGTAGTAGAAAATGCTGCTTTATGGTTCTGATTCTTATAGTCCTATTTCAAAGTACAAATACATGGCCAAATAAAATCAAGCATATCTAAATTTCTTAATTTTAAGACTTGATTATAGAGCATTGGTTTATTTGGTTAATACATGATCATTGATTTTGTTCATAATAAGCTTGATTAACCATTAGATGGTTAACTCTTTTCCTGTAAAAACAATTCAGAAGTCATTTGAGATGTTAATTTCATATATAACTAGTGGAAATATAATATGAATAAATAGATTTTTAGATTTAATTTTATGACTCGTTTTTACTGGTAATTATTTTTTATATGTTGTCACTATCAGTAGCAATGATGCTTTTGCTGTAACTTTCTTTACAGATGGAGAAAAAAGACCCATTTTCTGTAGATGTTAAGAAGGTATTACTGGATATGAGAAAATATCGAATGGGACTTATTCAGACTCCTGATCAACTAAGATTTTCATATATGGCCGTAATAGAAGGAGCAAAATTTATAATGGGGGATTCAACTATACAGGTAAATGTTTAGCTCTGTGTATTTAAACATAAACAAGTAGACTATTAACAGTAGTTAAGAATGATCTCCAAACTATTTTAAAACATGTAACTTTTTGTGGGTTTTAAATAATTTGCCTTTTTCAGTAGATGCCTGGAAGGTATTAGAGGGTATCTGATCAGAGCCTTCTGTCAGCTAAATTTATAATCCTATGTATTTGTCCCCTCTTAGATAAAATACAAAAATAACTTGTACTAATGCTTCTTCTAAAAAAAAGGTTCAGTTGGTATATTCAATATTGAAAAGCAAAAGTACTGCCCAGAATCACTTTGAAAAGATAGCAAGGATCTTTTTAGGATTTCTTGATCTTTGCTATATATTTTTCTAACACTGAAGTTGCCCGATGCTACTGATCAGGTTTATTAGTAGAGTTGCCTTTTTTTTTTTTTTATCCTTTAATATTTGTGTTATAGTTAGTAGAATCTAGCCAAATATAATGAATTTTGGGGTAAACAGATTACCAAATCTCACCATTTTATCGGTGTGGCTTGCAGATGTAACAGTAGCTACAGCTATTTTAAATGGCTGGAGCTAGGTGGGAGGGAGAACTGGGAGGAAAGGCTGTAAAACAGACTTAATTTTATTTTTATATGCTAGGGCTGTGCTATTTTGTTGATATCTTAAAATCATGAATGAAGGCGATAAAGTAAAACACATTTCCTCTTTTCTGTGGTTCTGGTAGTTGTCAGATTCTTCTCTTAGCAAGTCAAGAAACATTTGTCAATGTATATACAGAAATAATTTTGCACAACTACTAATAAACACTGAGGTAATGTGCTGCTGGTCTGATACCTGCACCATGTGCCTAGAAGACTGCATGGTTCATCCTAACTACAGCGATTTATCCTCTTTATTTTCTGGAAGCTGTTTCTGGTGGTATGAGGGTTTTCTTCTCTCTGATTTTTCTTCTTTGATTTTTAAAAAGCCATGCTCCAAACTGTGAGCAGCTCTGGTTCCCACGCTTAGCCATCTAGATCACGGGATTTCTTCTTTCTGGATACAAGGGAGCATTGTCAACTCCGAATACTGCTTGTCAGGTTCAAATGTGCTATTCCTTCATACTAAGAGAATGCCTAAGAAGGTACACTTCTCGTTTGTTCTTTTTTCTGGTTAGATTGTCCAGATGGTCTTTCCTAAATCAGTCTTTCCTGCAGTGCAGTCATTTGTCTTGGTGCTTTTCTCTTTAGGCCTCAGAGTCATGTGCAGAAAATCAATTGGCAGTACTTAACAGGAGTATTTCTCCTTTCGAGGTCAGCTAGGTCATTTTTTCCCCTTGTAGGGAACAGTTACAGTGTCCAGAGTGCAGGCGGTGTTGACTTCTCTGCACTATTGATGGGGAGGGCATGAAGTCATTGAATGCTTCTCTAATACGACATTACCCAAATGTCAGTCTCTGTCATCTCCATGGATGTCAGAAGTCAGTAAACTGTGCAGACAAACACAACATACGCTTGAATCTTTACTTGCGTACAGCTAGTGGCTGCAACTGCAACACTTGGGGGGGGGGGTGGGGGTGTGAGGAGTCTCTTCCCCTTGTTTAGCCCCTCTGAGAAGGGAAGGATCATACTCACCTAGGGCGCCCTGAAACCCTGCAGAGGTGGGTGGTAGGTGTGCTGCTGCGTGGTGCCATAACTGAAGCATTACTTGCTTTCTAATTGTAGTACAGCACTGCACTATATAAAATGGGTGAGCTGGAACAAGATTTAAGTTTTCATTTCTATAAAATTCCTTTGTAATAAACGTAAGTTAATATTGTTTCAACAACACAGTAGAAAAACTGTTTCAGAAAAATCTGTTGAAGTGAGTGGTCTCTGGAAAACAAATTTGTGGCTTTGAAAGAACAAAGATGGTTGAACCGGTTAGATCTGTAGATGGGTTTTACAGACAGAGAACAAGAATATTCTAATTTTGTACTGAAAATTGTGAATCCAAAACCTATCTGACATTCACTTGGTTTTGTCAATTGAACATCTTAATATGCCTATCTGTTGTCTCCTTTAATTCCAAGCGGCAACACAGGCCCTAAGTCTTAGCTCCCCTACACAGGCATTTTGGTTTTAATCTTAAGGACAGTTGTATTTCTTAAATCAAACTTGGTCACTTCTTTGTTTCTTCCAGACTTAATTTCATAAGACGTGGTGTAGTACGTCAGTTCCTGAGATATATTTTTGTTGCTTTTTTTTGTAAAGTTGCAGGTGCTATCATAAAATGGCAAAGGTGATTTAGCCACACAATCCTCCTTGTCTGTCTGTTGTACATTATTTTACCAGTCCTGCCATTCACATAGTCTTGTCTTAGGTAGTTAAACTTAGAATTACCAGCCATTTGAGCTATTGCTACTACAGGTTTAAAATAGAATTCTTGGTGGGAAATTCCTTCTGTTTGACAAGAGTAGTAAATTTATCTCTGATTTCAGTTCTTGTGTGGCTTGTCACTCCAGATGTAATCAGTATTTATCCTAGCCATCAAGTCCCTTATGGACATCAACCATGTCTTCCAAAAGGCCTTTTTCCATGACATGAAGAGGGACCTGCTAAGTGGATTTCCATTTGTTAGTGGCTGTTTTGTTTGTTCCCCACCCCTTCCTTTCTTCTTTAAGACAAAACAAGGGAAGCCTCTGAGTGAAGTGTCTTGCTCATGAAGACTCCCTTTGTGAATTTCAGATTTACACTGCAAGCTCCTCTGCAGTGGAGGTGTTGGTTCATTTTTAAAGATCATTCTGCCAGCAGTTCATTTATATGTAGCTCTTGAAGTTTGATGTTTAGTTTAGACCAGCAGTTCTGAATTCATTCCAGAGATGAGAATCTAACAGTTGTTTCGTGAAGAGTCAATTTTCAATTAATCTTTCTTATCATAGACATTTAAAAGTAACTGATTTTTTTTTTTTTTTTTTCCCCCTCAAGGTGTTCTATATCTTTATAAACTGGCTGATTTTGTGTGAGAAAACGATTGGGTTTTAGGGACAATTCTTTTCCTTCCTGTTACCTTTCTAGCTTTTTTTCCTGCATAAAGCTTTGTTGCAAGAAATCCTTCAGTCTATTCATCATTAGGACAGTTACCCATTAGGACGAAGATCTAGCAAACCAGTTTTAATTCTGATCTTTTTTTCTTTTTTCTTCTCGTCTCTTCAGATTACTTCTCAAAACAAGGTGAATATCTGTTTTGTGATGCAGTAGATCTCAGGGCTAACGGACCACAAGGTGAAATAGGAGCCTACAACTTTGGCATAAATAACCCTAGTTTGTTTTTTTTCATTGGCTTTACAAATTTCTGCAGTTTTCTCTTTTTAGGCAGTTCTTGCACACAAGGTCCTACTGTGTTTTGGAGCCATGAAAGGTAACAGCACAGTGTAGGCGTGTAGAGAGTAGAGGGAAATGGAAAGTGCTGGACAGTGCAGGACTGTACAAGACAAGTTGCTTCCTCATTGTGGAGCTACTGTGGACAGTACAAACCCTGTAGTGGCCTCATACCTTTATGGTAGCATCATCCCAGAGAAATATAAAGAGAGATCACTGTTGGAGAAGATGCATTTTCACCTAACCTTATTTCTTCATCTAGCTTTTTTTTTTTTTCTTCTTCATCTAGTAGTCTCTTTAATCTACTTCTGTGACTGTTCTGCTGGATGACATCTTGGGCAAAGAGGGCCTTCAGTGTCAGGGGGAGTGTTTGAAACGTGTTCTTGTTCGCAGAAACGATGGAAGGAGCTCTCTAAGGAGGACCAAGCTCCAAGTTCTGAGCAGTCTCCTCCACACCCAACCAAAATAACCACAGAGAAGTACAATGGGAACAGCATAGGCCTGGAGAACAAAGATCAAATGGAGAAAATAAATACTGACCTGGCCACTAAAGTTCAAGATATCACAGATGGAAACATTGAAAGGTAGGTGAGATGAAGAAACTGTTCAGAAGGCAGATATGCTCTCTTAAAAGGCTCGATTACTGTATGCTTTTCTTATCGTAAGAAAACTTAAAGATCTTTCTTCAGTAGACAGAAAGGACAGGTGGTATTTGACTGTCTTATTTAATTACTTTTAAAATACAGTTTCAGTTGTTCTTTATGATTAAAATTTTATTGTTTAAAGGTCAAGAGAAGAAAAACAAATGTCTAATCAAGGCAGCTAAACCTCATGCTTGAAAGCGTTTTCCTACAGACTGTGACCTGTACTGTGCAGTGTGAGTTCGGTCCTGAAAGTGCCCAACAGAACTCGATACTGATGTTTAAATACAATGCTAACTTATGTTTGGAAAAATAGATACCTCAGAAACACAAAGTTTTTATCACCTGCCACTTTCTGTATGGTGATTGAAATTGTGTCACTGAAGCCGTATGCCACCCTCTGCTCACGTTAAATCTACCCCTGTGAATAGATCTCTGTGGTTTAGCTGTGTCATGTGAATTTGTGTCTCAAGTTCGTCTGCCTCGTGAGTAGCACCGCCTCAGCTGTGAGCTGTTGTACCAGGAATTACCATCCCAGCTGCTGTGCTGCGAGGCTCGGGCCTGCCTGCCTCAGGCTGGGCAGAGCGAGGGCTGAGGCCTGCGGTGCGCAGCAGGCGGCAGCGCCTGCCCTGGAGCGCCGCAGCCTCAGGTGAGGTGCAGCAGTTCAGCGTAGATAGGCCGAAAATCTGGAATGACAGATGGCTTACTGAACGCCCTGATGAGCTTAGCTTTCCACGTCTTTATGATGAGTCTTGAGAGAGACTGACAGCAGTTCTGTAGGTGCTTGGAGCCCCTCACAAGCAGGGCAAGGGACATGAAGGTGTGAGTGTGGTGTTGGTGTGCTAGGGCTTGGACAGTCAAAGTGTTTTTTGTGTCAGCGTCACACTTGCTTAGAGATTGTGAGGATACTTTTGGAGAGAAGAATTACAAGGTGGCCCTCGTAAGTGTAACAACACACAACTGACCTTTAGCCTGTGTTATTTGATCGGGATTTGGTTTACAGCCTAAGATGAGCAGCATTAAATCTGCATGCAGACATGAGTAGGTTAGGATGAATACATCAGGGAGGCTAGTGTGAACTCTGCAGAGGTAGCATACACTTAAATACTATAAATGTTTGCATGTGGTACATGACATGGCATACAAAAGCAGCCTCCATGCAAAAAATTGCAGCCACCAAACAGGGCTCTGATGGGGGTGAAAGGCAACTTTGGATAATTAAGTTAATTCTGTTCCCTGTTGAACATGTAGGTCAAATACCATTTACATCTGTACATATGTCATTTATTTCATGGGGCTTCACTGACCTGAAACTGTCCACATCAAGGTGGTTAAAACAGAGTAAAGATTGCTTGGTTTAGAATTTATACACTGCTGCCATACGCTACTGGTGGGTTGGTTAACTCTTGGGGGGATGTTGGGAAGAGGTTTATTTTAGTATTTTAATAGCCTTTTTTCCTGTTGTACAATTTAAGATTTTCCCTATTTTTCCTTTTTCTTTAAGTACTGTCCGAAAACGACTGAGAGAGGATAGAAAAGCTAACACAGCGCAGAAGCTGCAGCAGATGAAGCAGAAGCTAAATGAGACTGAAAGAAAAAGAAAAAGGTGGTTATATTGGAAACCTATTCTCACTAAGATTGGGTTTGGTACACTGATTTTAGTTGGCGCTTATTCTTGCTGGAAAATGTATTTTCAAGAACATTCCTTGTAAGTAAACAGTAAGCCTGTCTGCTCCAGCAGCTAATTTTGCTGCATGTTCATGACTAGGGGTGTGACTTTAAGCAGTAAACTCCTTCCACCTGGAATGGGTGCAGACCCTTACATATGATAGAGGAGTGATGTAAACTTGATCATATGTCAACATCTCAGGACTTTCCACTGCAGGTACTTAGAAAAAATGAACTGCTGCCCCCCAACAAAGTTGATGGTTTTTGTTGAAAAGAGCAGGTACAAACTTGCTGCAACTGTTTATACACTTTTTAAAATGGTGTTCTACCAGATCTTAAGCAAACCCTGAACCACAGAGGTTTAGGTGCTGAAGGCTGTCTGGATTTAAATTTACATGCCTGACATAAGCAATAAACAGTGTTGTATCATTTACATTATTAATGCAAATAAGTTATCCTTAAATGTGTGTAATGTGTAATGTACTAGTGACATGAACATAAACATTTTATATTCTTATGACCTAGGATAAATATATTTTATAATTGCATATTTAATCTTTTTGTAGTTCACTGTACTTTTAAAAGCTCAGTTTGTACAAATTTCTGACCAAAAAGAATTTGATTTTGAAACTAAATGTAATTATAGTTTGTGCATGAAAATAGTAGTGCAACCATTCCCCATATTTTGACTCTCCAGTTTGATATGAGCAGCTAGGGGTCTGATGAAGCACTTAACAATTTCTATTCTGTTAATTTGCATTCCTTATTTATTTTTTTGTAGTTTTCATTATTTAAGGCTTGGAAATTTGTTTGGGTTTTTAAAATTTTTTTAAAGGCTTTTGAGATCTTAGCCCCCACTGAAAAGCATACTGTTAAGTTGATTAATGTATTCAGACTTCAACTACTGCTTGAAGGCCAACATTGTTAAAGTTCTGACATTCCATTAAATGTGAAACGTAATGTTTTGTGTGTCTATAGATTTTAATTGCTAGAAAGAATAAAATTCATTCATCAGTAATAGGTGTAGAAAGCACATCAAAGGAGACTATAGTTGGACTTCCAAGGGTGGTTGTGGTAGAAAACAAACGTTGGTAGTAATCTCCTGTACCCAGTATGTTCTGCTGGATGAGCCACTTCTGTAACTTCACAAAGTCTGGAACTGCTTTTTGGGTTCCTCAGCACGGTGTTAAAACACTTCATGGCTAGTATTTTGGGAATACCAATGCTACAGGTACTTTATTGGAAAGGGACTGCTCAGTAATTTTAGTTGGGCAGTAGCACTTCCTAATAGTAATTCAACACAAATCACGTTGTCCTTTATATTCTCTTTGAATATAGAGGTGACGAGTGGCTCTGTGTAGTTTGCTGTCGTTCAAGTTGAGACCTAATAATTTGTAGCATTGGACTGCACTTTGAAACCTGGATTTTATTTATTCAAGCGTTGCCTTGTTGGGTGGCTTCAGAGAAGTCTTGTTTTCTCCCTCCATCTTCCTAGCTTGGTTGTTTTCTGTTGGGTGTGGGGGTTCTTTTTTCCTCTCCACTGCCGTGCCACCCCCTCCCTTTTGTAAAGCACTTAGTGGATTTACTGCTGAAAAATACTAAAAGAGCTTGATAATTACTTTACTCCTTACCCAGAGGAATTAACTTGAAAGGTTTCCAGTATGTTCAAGCTTGGTAGTAACATACCAGGCATGGAGCCCAAATAGTCTGACATTTACTATGCAAAGCTAAGTTGAGTCTTCTACTCTTTGAAATTCTCATTTCACAATAGCTAATACTATTTTGGACTATGCTGTTTATATAGTAAACAAATGCTTAAGGGTCCCGATAAGGAAAACAAGTGTAGTTTCATGCAGTTCTGAATTTGGGAAATTGTGCGTCAGTAAAACAAGACAATTTGTCCCGTGGCATTATTGACCGACTGTGCAGCTCAAATGGCAGAATGACTTAGTGACTGCTGGGACACAGGGTAGGCAGGCAGCTTGCGTATTTTAGGACATTTCATAATTTTTACAACCACGGTAACTTTTAGCCAACAAGAGGCTTGGCAAAAGATTGTTTGTTTGTTTTTTCTGCTTTGAATTGGGAAGACAGGTTTTTCAGTATCAGCTATTACTGATAGTAGGTGTAAATATATGTGCCTTATAAAAGATATTTTGGTTATGGAAGAACACGTGGAATGTAATAAAATGCTTTTGTAACAGAAATAGTCCAGATTTTAACCTAAATAATTAAAAGCAGCTAAGGAAAAAGGGCAGGTGAAACCTTCACTGAAACCACACTGTCATTTATCACCTTTCTGTTGGCATGAGAGAGATTTCCTGGGCCACCAGTATCGTACAGACACTGAGCTTTTAACTGTGGCTTGTCAAGTTGTCACTTGAATTTTTTCCTGATTCCATCTTCTAAATTCTGGCCTTTTTGCTCGCTGGATCCTGAGCAGGCATTCCTCTTTCTGGGTGGGGCAGGGCTGGAGGGGGCCATCTTACATCGTCTCGCACTTCTTGATGCAGTAAAGCAGGACTTGCACATTCAACAGTTGATCTGTAAAAACTTGGTTCGGTTCCATGATTGTATCTGTCTTGAGAGTCTAACTGTTAATAATTTAAGAACCACAAAGTGATACAGGTTTTGGGCAAAACTGTTTTGTACGGTGAATTGTCCGTGACAGTGTGGGCGTAGGAAGGGAAATTAAACATTAGATCCCTTAGTACATTCCAGGAGATAATTTGGATAAAACTCTTCTTTCTGGTCCGTCAGTAATCCTTAAAAAACAAAATCTGGGGGAGGCTTGTTCTCTTTACTGCAAACTGAGCCCTTGTGATGCTTTGTTATTCTGTAGGATTTAAACTTGCAGCAGTTTTGCACAACTTGGATATTAAGTAAGAACAAGTACAGGCCAAAATGAAGAGCTGTCGATCCCAGTGACCTCTATCGTAGGAAATGCTTAAAGAAAGACTAAAACTGATGGACGTGCCTTCTGACCCCTCTCCTGCCTCTCCCCACCCCTGTTTCTGACAAGCTGCTGGCTGGTCCTGCGCTGCTTCTAAAATGCTGTTGCACTCGATTCAAAGTGTTCCCGTGTCGGGTTTTTCCCTCTGTTCTGGAAATACATCAGTCACAATATTTGATGCGTAGTGGACTTCCTTGAATTTGATTAAACAATGTTTGACTCTCAGATGAGCACTTCTGTATAAATCATGCACGTTTTTATTAAAAAAAAATCACTAACAAACATTTGGACCTCTGTTGCAAGGGGTTTGCAATCTTGGAATTGGTCCTTGAGATTTTCTGTTTATGTTCTTGGTGCAGGAACAGTCCACTTAGAGTGATGGTACATCTGTATTTTTTTTGGAATGTAATAAGTAATTTAATTCAGCATGAAATAGTGATTTGAAAGAAAATTACAGGCTAATTTTATGGAAGTAAGATGTTGCAAGTGAAACTTAGCTTATTTTGTTAAACCTGGAGTGAAATGATTTACTGACATCAATTTATATCCCAGTGAGAAGGGAAGAGGTGTAAATGTGTATGCATGTACGTGTGATTGGATTGTGCGGGCAATTAAAAAGCCTGGCTAGCTTTAAGTTTAATGAATGTTAACCAAATTATTCGGTTTGCTGTTTGGTGTTATGGTGAAGCTTGGGTCACTTGAGGACTGCACAAGCAACTAAATTAACGATGACAAAAGAGAAAGTCTTCTGCATGGCCAAGTGGCTTAAGTCAGAGGACGAAATTTGCCAAGTTGACGTAACACACAGTGGCCTTCCTGGGCTTTTTTGTTTTCCCTGGAGGCTTTAGGTCAGTCTTTCATTTTTATGTACAAAAAATAAATATGTTCAAAATTGCACCTCTGTCCGAGTCTTTCTTTAAATTGGAAGGATAGATACTTGGAAAAAAACCTTCAAATGTGTCTTAATTGATCAGAGCAAGCTGCTCTCTAAATCAGTGCAGTGCTTGCAGAATTTAGCAGCATTTCACTTGCAGTAGCTTGTAAGTACCAAGGTCTTTTTCTGTGTTCCTCTGAGCAGAGCCTCACCTTCCCTTAAGAACGAAATGCCCAGGGCTGGGATGTCTCCCTCGCTGCGAGAAACCTTTGCCTGGAAACGCTCGTTTCCACGCGGCTGCGCCGGGGCTGTGGGTGCGGGGAGAGGCGGCCCAGGGGACTCCCGCGGTGCTCGTGGTGCCCTGCCTGAGGAGGTGGCTTGCTGGACTGAGGCCTCTACGTGAAGCTCTCCAGCAAGTTTGTGCCTCAGGAATGTGGGGAAAGCAAGGGCTTTGCAGGCGTGCTTGCTGCGGGCCCGCAGGAGTCAGTAGTTGCTGCAGGGAGTGCATGAGAAGCTGTTCGGTGTCTGTAGGGAATTGCAAACCCGCTGTCTGATTTTTTTTTTTTTAATTATTTTTTTGTTCCTGTGCTGTGTACTGAATCGGTGACTTTCTTTTGCGTTGTATGTCGCAGGCCGAGACTGACTGACACCTAAGCCTTCGAGACTTGTGAATATTCTGCAGCTATAAACTGCAAAGTATTGACATGCAAAGCGAGACATGAACCCCTCTTCGGGAACAAAAAGCGAGGTCTGTTAAGTACCGAGAAGACCTCAGTTATCTGTTTACAGCGTAAACTGCATCGAGGGGATGAAGACCACCAGCAGCGTGCTACTTTGCAAAACAAAATAATTTGCCATCTTGTGTTTTTATAATGCCGGTATTAATGTAGAAAGATGTAAAAGAAATAATTTAGGAAATATTTTGTTTTGTACTGCCATTCTTACTGTATTTTTATACTTTTTGGCAGCATTAAATATTTTTTTAAATTGACAATATGCTGTTGTGTGCGCATTGTGTTAGGGAGAAACTGTTAAGAGCCTGTTTTGTGGAAAAAGAAATGTTTTGCCTTAAGGTTTCCTGATACCCTGTCTTAACTGGAAAGTGGCAAAGCGATTAGAATGTGCTTTATGCAAATATTTTCATTAATGCTAAGTATTGTAGTTTGAGCTGGGGGAACTCCTGCACGTTTCTTTTGTAATACACCACGAAGAATATTATTTTATTAATCTGACCACTTGGTTTGGTAATCCTTCTGATGTTTGCTATAAAATACGCACAAGATGTTCCCAGTCACTTTGTGAAGGGGAAGTGTTTGGTTGGTGGTGCTGTAATGGGAGGGAAGGTGGGAAATCTGACCTCTCACCGCGCAGGGTCAGGCCGGGCACGGAGGCGCAAAGTGCTCAAGGTCAATGGTGTCCCTCATTAAATGGGTTTCGCGTTGTGTCCTGGCCGTGTGGTCCATGTATGGCGTTTCCCTTCACGTTGCCCCGGGCCAGGCAGCGGGATGGGAGGGGGGCAGGCCGGAACGGTGCCTGCGGGAGGCCCCTGCAGGGCTTCCAGCCCTGTGCTTTCTGCCCCAGAGCTGCCCTCGGCTCTGCGCTCGCTCCCCTTCTCCGGCAGTTACAGATGAAGCTCAATTCACCAAAGATCTGTGTTTAACAAGGCTGTCTAAACTAGGACGTGGTGGGGTTTTATATGTAATTCGTATTTTTGTAACAGGGTTTTGTGCAAATCATACAGGTGCTGAAAGCAAACTCGGGAAGAGGGGGCAAATCTGGGCTGCCGAAGGCTGGTTTTGCTCAAATGAGCAGCAACCTGCAATCTTTACTTGGTGTTGAGGCTTGTTCATGAAAGCAACTGTATTCAGAGTTGTGTTTAGCTTGAAGGTGAATCAGGGCAGTACTTAATGCCATTACTTGAGCTAAATATTGTGCTTGATTGCCCCTAGCTTGAAATAGTTTAAATCACCGGTATCTGGTTTGTCTACATATTTTAATTTCTGCAGATGATTAGTGGCGTTTCTAGCCTCTGTTGGAAGAGAAACAACATCCCAACTTGATTCAGCTTTCATTTTCAAGCTGGTGCAGCTGTGAGGCTGGCAGTGTTTATAAGGAGCCAAAACCACTGCAATCAACCCAGTTGTCTGGTCCAGGAACGGAGCCTGTTTATACCAACTGATACATCTCTGGGTACGGCCTTCAGCCGCTCGTGCCTTTTGCCTTCAGCTGTGATTTGGGTTTTCAGTGGTTTTGTCCTCTGAATTGTGGGTCAGCATAAGGTGTGTGACTCCTGGAAACGCGCACCTGTGCCTGCTTTGTGTTCTCTTGTGGGGTGTAGAGGGCTGATCGTACTCTGGCCCGTGGCGCACAGTGGACTTCTCGAATCAGAACACTGACAGCTCTCGTTTTTTAAATGGTTTCCATCGACTGAGCTGCTGGACTAAATTTGACGTCAGGCTAACGTGATGAGTAGGCAAAGGGGATAAAGATGGGAGTAGTTCCGCAGGCGGAGCTTTGTCAGGTTTCATGGAGGGCTGCCTTGTGACAGCAGGGGTCTTGGCTCGCTGGTCCAGGAGCTTCTGATGTCTGCACTTGTTCTGTTATTTCTACACAAGGCCACCATTCTGGACTACTACTGGGAAAAGGGAGAGGCTGCCTTCCGAGAGGACAAGTGAGTGTCTTAAATGCAGCTTTAAAAAAATGGGGTCAGAAGAATGATAGGCTTGCAGATTTTCAGATTAAAACCTGTGATTTACTGGCTGCCACATTTTTTTTTCCATCCTCAAGAGAAACAGGGCTGAAGTACTCGTTTTTTATTTTTGGTAGTCACCTTAACAGGAGGACAAAACCGTGACCTGGTTCTGCGGCAGGGTTGGGGTGCGTGAAGGGCCAGGCCGGCGGGGCAGTGCAGCAGTTGGGCTGTGTCCTGCTGAGGGGGCTGGGGCAGGCGGGAGCCGTGCTGAGGGGCTCGCTCTGCCCCGGCTCCGGGGGCAAGGGGAGCCCCTGGGCAGCGGTCACAGCCCTGCAGTGGCACGTGGTGGCCACCCTGGCAACTGTCTGCCCAACCCGGGGGAAGCCGCCTCCTTGTCCTGGTAAAGAGCGAGAACTGGTACCTTTTTCACAGGGAAGAGGAAAGCCTTGAGGGTTTTCTCCTTCAGGCAGTGCTCACAGGACCGAGTGCTCCCCTTTTCCCTGCTCTTTGAGGTTTTACTCTGCTGGGCCTCTTGAGGAGGTCCTTAGCATCTGTGAATCATTTAAGAAAAACACTGCAAGGCAAATGCCACCGCCTTCACCGCTTTTGCCTGGTCCTTCATTTCCTCAATATTTAATTTGCACTCTTGCTATATATGCACACCCCATAGTAACTTTTTAAAAGCTACAAGGAATCCTTTAGTGCTTAACAACACTCAGCCCTGTCCTCTCTTCCGCTCCAAGGTATGTCTTGCTGGGCACAGGTATAAAAGTACAAAGAGGTTATTGTCCTCAGCAAGTCTTTCAGGTCGGTCAGTCTAGGTGAAGTCCAGAGTGAAGGCTCAGAGTGAGCATGCACAGGCCAGGGTGCGGGACTGGAATGTAGTTGGCTAAAGCTCCATACCTCTGAGGCACTGAGTTAGGCATGGTGGGGCGGGGGGAAGAAGAGGGATGGAGAGAGTAAAGCCTGAGAGAGAATCTTCACGTGTCCAGCAAGGAGCCCCCCTTCCCCCTCACCCACGGCCGGAGCTCCTGCGGCGCAGGGCACCGGCTGCCCGGGCATCAGGGCCGCTGCAGGACGGGCTCTTACAGACCCGTTAGTCTGTCCCACACGTGTTGGGAATAAAGCAAAGCCAAGTGGCCTCAACAGCCGTGTCCGCACTCCTCTTAGTATTAAACACAGTTAGTTTCTCCAACTAGTTCCAGGCTTACCAGCCTCGCCTTGCGCTGCGCGGGGCCTTCTGTCTGCATTCCCTGACCGCATCCGCCTTCTGACTCACCAGCTTATTAGTCTGGATACCCATGGAAATTCCTAAAAATATGTTTTGGTTAATTCTCACTTTCCAACTCCAGAACTGCACCGTCTGACATCCAGCACCTGCCATCACCTTCCAGTAGTTTCTCCCCTGTTGTCCCCCTCTCAGTTACATTGTCTGAACTCAACTGCCCTTCAAACCTTACTGGTTTCTGAGTTTGGAACAGTACAGGCTTCTCTTCCCCCTGCCCAGCTATGTACACCTCACACAGAAGCCCTTTCCTGCTAGCAGCACTGGCATGGTACTGGAAGAGGAGCCCAAGAGGAATTGTTCATTACTGCTCCCCAGTGTTTTCTTATACTTGCCTTTCTTCTCCGTGTTAAGTTTCTGATTAAAAAAATAAGCTCTGCTGCTTTTTTTTTTTCCTTGCATACAGCACCTGAAGTATAGCTTCAGTATATTTTCATGTCTGTAAACCATGTTTCTAACTCACAATTTGCTCTATTAATCCTTTTCTTAAACTTCCAGAAACTCCTTGCAATTGTGTCATTTTGAAAACATCTCCTGTGCCGCGAGGGTTCGGGTAAGTGCTTAGTAGTTGTACTTGCACCATCAGCTAGCAAATACCACAATTCAGATCCTGACTTCTATTTGTCAAATAATGAGAACTACTCTGAGGAATCTTACCATTGTTTGTGCCACAGGGCTTATTATTTTTCATAATATGTTTAAAAAAAAAAAAAAAAAGTTTGTAGCCTGTCTGGAATCATCAGGCATCATCAGTAAGTAGCTTATAACCCAAGGTCTAGAGCAGACGTTCCTGCAGTATAGCCGTCAGCTGTCTACTGCTCCTTCCTCCTTTGGAGAGTGCTAAGGAATCATTTTTACAGCCGTGAGTCTCTGGCAAAGGTAAGTCAAGGTATCTTGCTGGTTAAAACTACCCGTCCGAGGATGGTAACGCTGCCCTGCATGCAGGTCAACGCGTAGTTCAACTCCCCCGTGTTCGGAGGGAGAGAGCACAGCGTAGCCCTGCCATCGGCCTCGGAGAGGAGAGGGCTGATGCAACTCTGCGCCAGGAGTTCATCATAACCTTAGAGAGCAGGCAGAATTTTAGAAGAACTCCAAGTGATAAAAATTGTAAGAACTTTAAACTTTTTAACTGCTTCTAAGTATTAGATTTCATGCCTCCTACTTCTGGTTAATAGGTGAAAAGAGATGCCAGTTGTGGAAAACTGCTCGCGACCAGCATGGATGGAAAGGTCAGTCAGTCCGATGAGTAAGAGTAGAGAGTAAGACCAACAAATCTTAATATATTAAGTTGTATTTTCCATTGCCTGCCTTTCTTACAAAATTATTGCAAGGTTTAGGTGAAAAGCTTAAGACGCTGTAGAAGAATATTTTAAGGGAAAGGGGGCAGGAAAGCCACCCTAGCTCCTGCTAGGTAACTACACGATGGTGCTTTTAGGCTACAATACGTTCAGGTGTTACTTTCTGTTCTCCTGGGGACCCTGCCATTCCCTTACAAATGGGAGCTTACCCGATGCCTTCCCGCACGATGTGTTTTCTCCGTCAGGGCACAGATTTTCCTCCGATGTGTCACGACCGCAGGAGCAGCAGGTGCTAGGGTGGTGTCTTCTCCAAAACCCACGTCCAGCCCCAGCTCCCGTGAACCTCCAGGGCGGCTGGTGGTGCGGTGCCCGCCCGCCCTGCGGCGCACACACCCTGAGGGACAGCCGGCACAGCTGGAGCTGGAAACACGCATGGAGTGTTAAATCATCTCGGTTGGCTTGCACTCTTAATTGCATTGTTTTAATTGCAAACATGTAAAAGAACTGAAATTTTAAGATTTTTTTAAAAAAAGTCTTAAGCTTTGTTTTAAAAAAAGAAGAAAAAGTTAAACTATATATTCCATTATTAGCCAGCAGATATATTTTCCTAAGATGTTTGTAGCATAAATACTGGTTTATCCACAATGACAACAATAAAAATTACTACGTCTGAGCTATCTGTGAGAATATTTTCATGAGAAAATGCACCTTTATCAGTAGTAAATTAAAAAAGGAAAGAAAAACCAACTCCCCTGCCTCACAAAAATTCTGAATGCTTCTCTGCTGTGGTCTGGGGACCAAACAGTCCCTCGCTGTTGCTTCAGAATCCTTATTTTGCCTCCTCAAGCTTTTTATCGCTGCTTCTCCTTGTTGCAAGCCATACTCATTCTGACTGAAATTTAATCTATTATCACAGCTGCTTTGATTTTGATTAATATAGTTTTGCAGCTAAATACCTCCTGAACTGTAGCCTCCCAAATGCCACTGGGCATACATCAGCCCGCACCCTGATTAATACAACCAATTAATACAAATTTTTTCCTACCTGATTAACTTCCTGTGGATACCAAAGCAATGCCACTTATTGTCCAGATAAGGTTTTACCCTTCAGATTTTTTTAATTTATTGTTTAAAAGCCACAGAAGTTGACTTCAGTACCTCAAGTTTTTTTTTCAAGGTCTGTGCCTGTGCCAAACAGCCACAGCAAACCCTGTTTGAGCTTGTTCTCTGGATGTCACAAGTTATTTAAACCCCGAGGATTTATACAAAGGAACTCCTTAAATGCAACACCTGTACTCCGCAAATTGTTTGCAGTACTGAGCATCAGCTAGAACAGCAGGTTGCACCCGGCAGAGATACTTAGTAAGTTTACTGCAGCGTGGCTGAAGTTTTCAGACGTTAGAATGACGACACTTGTGATGGGCCTAAATGAAGCAGACAGTTTGATCCCAAAGGAACTAAGCACTTAAATAGAGCCAGCTAAACAAAGGTTATCTAATCGCCTTGTTTTTTTTTAAAAAAAAACCCACAACAGAGTCCCAAAAAACCAACCTCCTGTGATGGTTGGAAAAGCCTCCTGAAGCATCTCCAGTGCATACATAACTCCTCCCCGCGGCTGAACTCCTTGGATGAGCAGTAGGCAGGCCGTGGCTGAGGAGCTGGCTCTGCGATGGGTGCTCTACAGTACCTTGCAAGTTGGTGTGACAGCAGACGTACCTTCAGGGCTCCTGCTTTCCAGCTCTAATTATCTGAGCCCTGCACACATGCCCGTGCTCATCTAGTGGAAGGACCTACGCTAAGGCAATGCAGCAGTAGGCATTCATCCCCTTCTTGCTGAAGAACAGTTTTCATCTCAGGAGAGCCTCGAGGCGGTACAGTTGATTTAAACAGCCATCTCCGTAATGTTGGTTTGCTCAGCGATTCCAATGGAACTCCTCAAATATTTTGCCCCTTTAAAAACCACCACTCTACATAGCAGTTGTCAGTTCAAAGTGTTCTTACCCACAATCATCCAGTCTTCTAAAATAGCAGAGTTTGTGTTCTAAGATTAGTATGTTCAGACAGCTGGGTCATTCATTCTTGACCTGTTCTTTAGTATGTCAGCAAAGCCCCAACTCAAACTAACCATGGTCATTAGACCGTGCACGGAAGGGAGAACTGAGTAGCTCCTACAGCTTTGTTCAAAGGTCAGCTTCTGATTTTCCTGGTAAACCTGTCACACTCAGCTGGCTTTCAGGTCCAAAGCCAAAACCAGGATCATGAACAGCTTCAACTCTTGACTTCTTAGAAGGTCAGATTCTAAATCGAGGAAGATGAATGCTTGGTTCCAGATTCAGCAGCGCATAAGAAGCAGCAAGTAGTTCTTGTAATTTACACAGGACTATGTGCTTAAAGTTAAGTACTCTATTTACTGGTTCAAGGCAAAAGTTTTCAACCAGCTTGGCAGATTCAGCTTTCCAAACTAAAGTACAGCAATAAATTACACTCTCATGGCAGTTAACAAATCTCTGTGCTCACTACTGTCCACTTACAGGTGATGTGTTACATTCACAGAGAATCTGAGAATCCATCACAATGAAGAATGACATCAGAAGAATATTTAGGTCATTAGTTGTTTTTAAAAAATGCAATATTTGAATAAACAGTATTTGCAAGTAGGAAGTATAACCATGGTGGATGCAAATGGTTTAGCCTTCCACTTGCCTAAAGAAACTCAAGCTTCTTGTAAAATAATTGCAAGACTATGAGCCAAAATAAATATTTAAGCTTGGACTAATGTGATCTTTTCAGTCATGTTATTTGGTTTAACTTCTGGTTGTAGTTTGCATACCAGTTGCATTCATGTTGCTTTTTGTTCAGGTAAGTTTCTTTTGATCCACAATCCCAGGCACATCAGTCATTGCCAAACACTTCAAATCTCTTCGTAGCTCATTTTTTACACCATAAAACATGGCATCTTCATGAAATGTGGCATCTTCGTGCATTACTACTGTAAAAGCTTATTAATAGAAGCAAAGTATTACTTTACATTTCTAGCATGGTATTTAGATTAGCGTTAATATAATTCAAACATTTTAAAAAAGAAAAAAAAAACATATGTAATTAAGTAATTGTGAAGGCTTTCCAGTTGACCTAACGCCAGCCACAGTTAGTTTAGGCTCATGTTGTTCTACACGTATCTAGGTTTGGGACTGACTCAAATACAGTATTTAACTTGAGACTGCTCACATTTTAAGATACTGTCTGAAGGTATTTGGACAGACAATTATATGAAGCATTTGCTCCACACACCACGTCTCCAAGGTTCACTTTGCCCTGCATTATCTGCTTCTGCAAAACAGACTTTAAGACTGGGAAACACTGAAATTCCTTACTGTTTTGTGGAAAAAGAACAGTAACTGAATATTCATTCAAATACTAGTAATCTGTGACAGGCATTCACTATGATTCTCACCTCAAACTTTCAAAAACCTGAAAAGACAACCAATACAGCATCCTTTGGGTGAGCAGTCACGTTCACTGAACTGCTTTTCTTTACAGGCACAAGTTTTCAAGCAAAGCTGACTACTGAATCTTATTCCAACACCTCTAACAGATCTCTTCAGGTCTGCTGCTGTTACTTTCCTCATCATTTGTACTACTGGCATGACAATACCACAAAATAAACTATCTATTTAGCAGACTAAATATTTAAAATTATACCCTGTATATATGTCACGTCTTAATTCATAAGCTACCACTTAGAAATTCTAGATTTCAAGTTACTTTTAATTAAGCTGATGTGACCAAGCGCTTCCAAAAGATCAAAATTGTACATGTAGCTTAATAATGCAACAAGTACCATTACAAACTTTAAACGTGAATTACGCATCACACAACCTGTGTCTCAGACTAAGCTTATAAAAGCAGGCAGTCTGGTATCTGTGTATCAGGGCAATGTTCTAACTCCTTTATATTTCAGAGCACTGTATTCATCCTCAAATTAGTCTGAGAAAGCTCGTCTTCCTAGAAAGCTTTAGTTTTAGCATCTCTGCAGCCCTTGGAAGCAGAACAGAAGTTACACAACGGAGGCAGACCACAGAAGATGGAACAGGCTGCTCTGTGACTTGCCATTTCCCCAGCTGAAGCTACCACAACAGCACCGGGAAAAGAAGGCAGAACTACATCACATCCGAGCTTCACTTACATCACCAGGAAGGTTTTGAAAAAAGCTAAGATCCACAGTTGACATGGAAGAGTAGGGTTTTGTCTTCATAAAAAAATTTATGTCTGCACATCAATCTCAAGTTCTCAGCTACGTCAAGGTGCACCATAAGCTTCTCCACAGTAATAACACTTAACCAAAGAAAAAGGTTTTTTAAAAAATACTTTATTGGAAAAAAGTTCAACCAAAGTTATTCAATTAACAACTGTACAAAACATATTTCTTTGGTCAATTTGTGAAAGTTACCTTAATTTCTTTAGCTACCCACATATGTGAAAGGAATTGTTCTTAAATAAAGAATTTATGCAGACAACAAAGAAAGCTGCTGTTACTTGGTAATTACTATGTAATAACCTTCGAGGGATGTTTGAGACTGCACATGTGACTTACAGAAGCATTCAAAATTGCTCAGAAGAGTGCAGGTGGAAGACCATTGCCAAAAAGTAAGCGCCAAGAACTTGGTACTTTCCACGGTGAAGAAGTATCTGTGGAATTGTTGCTCTGCAACAAAAACAGAATAATTCATTATTAAGTTTTAAATAGTAATGATGTAATTCTCTCTCTGGCACACATATTAAAATAATGGGCAGCATTTCGAGTGTCGAAATCATTGTGAGTTGCTTTAGAGAAGAGTACTGTAAGGTTGAACTTGATTAAACCCTTACCCAATTTCCCCCACACCTGTCAGACAAAAGGACTGGTGTTTAGGTTTGGTTTTTCAGGTGGGGAAATTCCCACTGAGATTTTAATCAAAACGTATCTTTAATTTGGCACATCCTTGATGATCAAGGACCAAAACAAACCCAAGCCATACACCTGTAACTTTTCTAAAATTCAGCTAAGTAACATATTTCATGTTCCATATTGAAGAAAAATGAAAATAACAGATATAAAATACGAAAGCCAGAACTCTAGATCAAACAGCACTTACTTCACTTTTAATTAGCTGGAGCCATTCATTAAGATAGTTAGCAAGAGCAAATGCATCAGGGATGTTGTCCCCTTCTGAGCAGAATTTCAGAAGAACTGCCATTTGGACTCCTTTTGAGCAGCTGCAACAAAAATGAGTAAGCATTTCTGTTTCTTCTCTATATCCAGAAAAATTGTATTTATGTATTAAGAGCCACAACAATCTGCTTATGGCTTGTTGAATCAAAACAAAAAGTAAAAATGTATATGTACATATATAGGTTTTTTTGGTTTTTCCTCTCCAGACTTCTTTGCATTTTCACACTTCATGTTATTTTTCTTAGTCTTGAATTTGTTCTTTGCTTTGAGGCAGGAGTCCTAGGTCATGGAAGAGTTAAACAGGGACTCTTTTACATACTTAAGTTTGCATTTTTGTGGGGCATTTATACAGTTCCTTTGATACAATCACTCCTTACCTTTCTGTGTATTCCAAACACCAGTTTTGCAGGCTGCATATCACTACTTTACTCAAAATATTCCCATCTTCTCATTTAGATATTAAGATTGTTATTTTTTTTTTTTTTGCTAAAATCCTGGGAGGTCTTGTTTTGCATTTGTATACTATTTTCATACTGAAGTCATTATAAAGGTAAGCACGGTATTAATAACTCTCCTGCTGTTGGATGCAACAGTTTGGACAGGTGTCAAAAACAATAGCTACAAGAAAATGCAAGAGTGAATTTTCCAGCTGACACAAAACAAACACCTTTTGCAGCACTAAGACTGCTGTACCATAACGAGCAAGTATTACTGCCCAAAATTTGAAACTCAGACATGCTTTCAGCACAACTTCTGATGCACACACCTTTTAACAAAACCCTCACATCTAATTGTTTGCTGGCCCTGAAATCATAACTCATTCTTAGTCCTCAGAATGCTGTTGGGTTTTTTTGGTTTGGTGTTTTGTTTTGTTTTTCTTTTTTTTTCAACTGATAACAGGACTATTTGTCACGGGAAACAGTTTTAGTTAAAGTATCCCAGGTACAGGAATTTTATTATTTACAGATTGCACTTTGTATAAAAACAGATACCAGATTAATCACAATCTTAACTGTAAAAGCTTTATTATTTGCCTTTAGCCCATTCACTTACATTTTTAACATATTTTAACTTTATGATGCAGAATTCCCTATTTATTTCCTCTTAATTAGGGGCTTGATCTGGAAGACGTTATATTCCTATAAAACCCTCTTCTAGGAAAAGAGGGTACTTTCCTATAAGATAGCAGTTTAAAAGATAATCTTACCCATGTACTAAAAACAAGACTTCTGATAGCTTTCTGTGCTCATCTTTGGGCAACTCACCTCTCAGTAAACAACAATTTTGTGATGCCACCTCCAGGAATATGTAGAACTTTTTCTGTATCATTTATTCCAGGGTAAGCTGCTACTTTTTCCATTTCTTTCCAGTTTAGCTCCTGCATAAGGCCTCCAACTGCTTTCTCAAGATCAGGTGTAAGTAGGTAGCGTAATGGTGTCCTAGAAACAAATCAAGAATATATTCTGTCTGACAATAAAAGATGCTACCAATGTTATCACTTGTGATAGAAAGAAGCTGCAAGCATTGGGAACCTCAAACCTGTGATGAACAATTGCATTGACATTCCCTTCCTCCCCAAATCAAAGTTTAAAAGGTAGTCTGTGACCTCAAAGCAGTACAAACTACTCAATTTTCTGCCACAAATAGATCTAAAATATCCTCTTTTTAGAGGCTCAAATAACTGGCAAGTACCAGATACATAAGCACATAAATAGGAGAACTGTTTATGGTTGTTAAAATAAGTTACAAAGAAAATGTGCTTTCTCTTCCTTCAGATAGGAGGTGATTAAATTAAAGTTTGTTAGGGAAAACTTTGACTTCACTGTGATACAGTATTTTTACTAAGCTCACACTACAAATACATGCAGACTTCATGTCTAAGTATTTTCTGAGTGCATTACCCCCACTCTTTAGTGAATCTGTGATAAGAGAGTTATTCTGGGGTGCTGAGAGAGGCGGAAGTGTTAAATCACCACAATTTATGACTTGGACTGCATTGAATAGTCGCTCTCATTTCATTTCACGTTAGCTGGCCATTCTGCAACTGTATGCAAATACCACTGGTACCTGTATCTGGGACCTGCATGGCCATAAACCTCCTTTAAGGCCCTACTCATTTATACAGCCTGAGGATAACAATTGGTCTTTTGCAAAAAATGCTGATTTTTGTTTGTTTGTTTTTGTTAATCACCAATTATGATGTCCTCAGTCAGTAAGTAATGCTTGTTTTTTAAGAAGGGTAACATTCACTAAAAATACATATAGTCTGAACCTTGCATTTGCCTCCCAACAAATAAGAATTGGTAACTATTAAAAAAATAAGAATGACAACTTACTATATTAAAAAAAAAAAATCAAAATACAGAATAATGAAGAGGAGGTAAGAAATCAACCAATATTCTAATTAACCGTTAAAAATGTAACCTGTGGCCTGGATGTTAGCAGCTAATTCCTGACATTGCCTGCAGGTTTAAGAAATTAAGAAGTGAAAACCGAGGCTCTGTTGCCTGACAGTGCAGGCCAAGTGCAATTTACTTACAGTTTATTATTTGCTCAGTACTTTTGACAGTAGTAGCTAACAAAGTTCAGAGACTAATCCTGTATAACATAATGTTTTAATAGTATATTAGGTATTTTATCACCTATGAACACAGCCAAGCAAAAGAACCCTGCCAGAAGTACTCAGTAGAGGGAAATATGTCAGTTTTTCAAAAAGAACAGAAATATTAATTAGGTATTTTAATGACACAAACATACCCAAGAAGTTGCTCATCATCGCGCTGGTACGCATGGCTGCTAGACAGAACGATGACTCTGGCACATTTGCTGCTTTTCACCCAAGAGAGTAGTGTTTGACAGAATGGCCTGTACTTATTCTTTATGCAAAAATAGAGAAAAATGTGAAAAACATAGTGTCCTTTAAAAAAAAAAAAAAAAGCCATAATCCAACAATATTAGATGTTACATATAATGTTTAGCAGTGATGTAAATTTTTCTTCATATCTGTTTAGTCTTCAGCTTTGGATATATTTTTAAAAAGCAGAGGACTGCTCTGGTTGTTTACTTAATCAAAAGTATGTGTATAATGATAAAAATTATGATCAAGACCATGTTAACAACAGTACCACCTGTTTTGTGTGCCATTAATATCAATGGAAAATACTTTAGAGCAAGATGGGATGGTAGGATCACACAGTACTTTTCCACACTTTGAACTGTTAAAAACTGTAGCACAGAGTTTTTTCCAGCATGGTATTCTGCTTATTTTAAATTACAGACACTGTCCAGTTAATGAGTAATTCTAAATATTTAATTTTTTACATAATGAATGCAGTTTAAATGAACACAGAATACCGTGAAAGAATTAAATGGGAGTGACACCAAAAATTAAGCTATTACAATAAAAGAACACACAAACCCAATAAATGTAAAGGAAAAAAAAAAGAAATGGACAAAACCCACACCATTTTGTATTTTCAACAGTGTTAATAACTAATGACATATTTACACTAAAATCTACCACCATAGCTGGGCTGTTTTGGGGCTTGGAAAATCAAAGCAAAATCTCAACCCTCAATGAATGCAGAAGCTAGTTTTTGTTAGCTAAAACCGTATCAACTGTAAAAAGTGTTACAGCACAAAGTAGAAAAATATTTTGCTGGGCCACTTAAACTATTTGACAGCAGAACCAGTCAAACTGAATGGTGAAGTAAGAAAAATCAGTGAACATACTTACCTTTATAAAAGGCGATCTGATCTGCAGAACTACAAGTTTCTTTGAAGGTAGCGAATACACTACAAAAAGAAATAATGAAGTTTTGTGAGAAGAAAGCAAGAAAGAGATCTGGTTTTCAAAGTATCCAGATTTATCCAATTTACAAACCTCAAGACAGTAAACCTTTCAGCTATCAATTCACATGGGAAAGCCTGACAATATCTACAGTGTTAAAAATATATTTTTTATATATATATATATTTGTATATAGATATATATTTGTTATATAAATATATATCTATATAAACATATATTTTATATATATTTATTGTAGTATATGTGTTTATTATAATATACATTTTTATATATTTATATATTTTATTATAATAATAAAAATATTTATTTTTATAATTATATTTCGTTTTCTTAACTGGACTTATTTTCACTTGTCATAAATTCAAAGGATTTAATGGAGAAAAATATACGAAGATCTGCCTCCTGCAATGATTGAGACAGTCTCTTTACGCAACTTTTCAAAGACTGACAGATTATTCTGAGATTTCCATGATTTAAGGGGGCGGGGGGGGGGAATGCAATGATCAACATAAAGAAAGAAACTAAGAATTTAAAGGGGGGAGAGGGAGAAACACCACATAAGGAAAAAGGCAAACACAGGTGGGAAGGAAGGAAGAGGACAGGATGAATACTCTTCTAGACCAGAAATTCAGCTTGTATTCCAGATGGATTTCTGTAAGTATGTGCCTAGTTCATGTTGCTTTGGATTAAAACTGCAGAGTTTTGGCCGCACTGTGTTGCTATTCAACATTTCTTACTAGTTCCATATGTCAAATTGGTTATTCAAAATAACAATAGTAACAGCTTCCTCTGTGAAGTGTAAATACTTTCTTATCTGTAAGTTACCGAAGTTGTTACTACCAACCTTAGGTTAAACACTGTTCACATAAGCAAAATGTAACAACAACAAGAAAAGTAAAACTGACATTCTTGCACCTTATGCAGCTTGCAAATACCTTCAGCATTTATACTCAGCTCCACTGAGTTTTCTTCTCCTGTTGCATATGGATTATTTCCAACCATTGGCACGAGGCAATCCGTGTAGAAGTAACCAACTTTAGTCATGTCAAGCGTGGAAATCACTAGATCTATTGCCAGTTGACCAACATTTCCCACCGACACTGCTGGCTGAAAGTAACAGAAGTTACTGAATTACACTGTGTTTTATGGACAATACAGGATGCTCTTCAAATACTGAAAGTTTAAATTACTTCAATTCTGATCAAACATGACTTCTATAAGTGACTGCTCATCCTCCGACAAAGGTGACTCTTTCTTAACAGATAGCTAATAGAGACTTTGGTCCCTGTCCCACAAAACACCCTGACCACTTCTGCGAATAATCCTGTCTGACTGTAAACTTAAACCACAGGCTTGGAAACTTGTCTCCTCCCTCTCTTTTTTTGGATACAAGAGCAGATAAATCACTCAAATGACTAATACTGAGATTGGCAGGCCTCAAGTGACACCTAACGGTAATGTTGATACTACATATGAAACCTGTAAATCTCAACTTGACTCATATGCAAGAGTAGACTGTTTACCATCTTAAGCGTGAAAATAAGGGTCATCTTGGATGCATTTCATACGAAGTGCCATGGGTTACCACCCATCAGGGCAGATACTGACCTAATCTGATGGCGCAGAAAGAGAAATCAAAGAGGTTTTATCGTTCTACAGAAACTATTACAGGAAGACAACAGTAAAATTTTCAGTTGCTTCCCTCTAACTTATAACCAAGTCTGTGTCTAAGAATTGCTGCAGCCACTGATGTAGTATACTTCACGCTTGCAAGTGGCCACAGTTAGTAAATGATAGAAGCACACTCTGTACTTGCATGTGGTTACAGACAATAGTTAGCAATCATCAAATTGACAACCTGGCAAGATGACTATTCGATTAAGTAACTTGGCAATGAAACTAACTTTTAAAGTGTCCTGAAGCAAACTACCTTCATTGTAATATTAAAAAACACTCGCCCAGGTCGGAACAATCCCTGCCCAGGTTCAAGACCCTTCCCCTGAGCATGCGTAGTGATAAAAGTCTTATGTAATCTGTATTATAATTGTATTATAATCACTGACCAATCAGTATCTTATAGGCTTGTTTGGAAAAATGCTAACCTGTGATTTCTGTGTATAAAAGAAGCACCTGAACCTGTTGTCAGGTGTGCTTGATTTGTGGAAAATCCACAGAGCACCCAGGCCTGAATAAAATACAGTATCTCTCCTGAGCGTGTTAAGATCAGCTTATTGCACTCTGGGCACAAATCCGCTTTCTGGCTAACACCACCAGTTGCAGAAACACACCAAATTTGATGCTGATAAGCTCACGGTGAAAGAGGACCTAAGAGCACTCACAGCATGTCATTACGAACTGGCTGGAATTCAACAGCCGGTTACTCCCGGCCAAAGACAACAGCCGCGCTCTATTTCCTGCGGCCGGGCAGCTGATGGGGAACGGCTTCCCACGCAGCCTGCCGAGCCACCCCGGGCTGCGCAGCGCCCCACGAGGGGCGGTAAGCTGACCTTGAAGTAACACGGTAAAGGGACTCACTGGCAGGAGAAACAACGGTTTGCTACTTCCCGGCCTGCATTGGAACTCTTACCCCACAGCAAACAAAGTAACCTCGCGTAGGTTATTTTAAATTGATTTTATACCAGGTATGAAGGTGCTTAAAACGCTTCCTAAAACAATCCTAATCGGAGTTCGAATATAGCAGAAATGGGGATTTTTTTTCACTTAAAAATTTATGTATCGCATCGAAGTGAAAGAAAAAAAAATAACCTTTTATTCCAGTGGCAACCCACAGGAACTACCAATCTTGTAAAAATTACATACATTTCAATCATGAAGCGATAGCATATAGCTACAGCTCGACACGAGCAAAAAACGGGTGGCTGAGGACGGAAAAACTGACGGAAGAGACGGCATTAAGCTTTGCTGGAAAGAGCTCTGGGAAGGACCCCAGCAAATCCTTTTTTATTCGGCAAAATATCCGATAGATCTACACACGGGCACTGCATTCGCACGCCCAGCACCCTTCCCCTCCTCCGCGGTCAAGTACCCACGCACGACCGCCGGGCAAAGGAAAGAGAGGCCGAAGCGCCCCGGCCCTCCTGCCCCACAGGTGGAGGCCGGCCCCTGCCCGCGCCCCAGGGAGCTGGGGGCAGCCCTCTGCGCCCCGGCCCCGCGCAGCAGCACGCCCCTTCCGCCCGCTCCGGGGTGTGGGTGTCCCGTGGGGGCAGCGCCCCCTCCAGCCCGTCGAGGGCGGGGAGGGTAGGAAGCAGGAGCGCGACCTACCATGAGCAGAGTGAAGCCTTTAAAGTCCGAGCTGGCGGAGCCCCCGCCGCGGTCGCAAGGAACAAACATGCCGGCCGGGAATGAAAGAAGGACGGTAGGAAGGAAGGAAGGAAGGAAGCAGCGATGGCTGCGCCTCTTCCCTCAGCGGAGCGGGGCGGGGCGGGGCGAGGAGGAGCGGAACGGAACGGAACGGCTGCAACCGCCCGCCTCGCGCTGCGCACGCCAGGGGGCGGGGCGGCGGCCGCGCGCCCAACCGTTGCGCCGTTGCCCGCGCCCGTCGTAACGGCGGTTGGGGGGGGCGAGGCCTCGGTCGCGGCGCGCGGCGTCCCCCCGCTCCTTCCGTGGCGGGAAGCGTCGCGGTTCTTTCACCGGCGCTGCCGCCATGTCGCTGCCGCCGGAGAAAGCCTCCGAGCTGAAGCAGATCATCCGCCAGCAGCTGGTCAAGGTGGGGCCGTCCCCGCGGCGGAGCGACTTGGCCTGCCCGGGGAAGGCGCGGGGCAGGCGGGGCCCGGCCGCTTCCCATGTCGGCGGTGCGGGCCCCCGGCCCTGGGCGGCGGCGGCGCGCGGTGAGGGAGGGGGTGGTAGGGCACGCAGCGTGGCCACTCGCTCTCCTTCCTTTGGTTTGTTTTTTTTTTTTTTTGTTTTGTTTTAATTTTTTTGTTGTTGTGTTGTTTGTTTGTTTTTCCTTTGTTTTTGTTTTGTTTTGTTTTTATTTTCGTTTTTCTGTTGTCGCTGCAGGTGGTTTCGCTTCCTACCGCCCCCGCCCCTTGCCCTCATCGCCTCTTTCCTGGGCTACGAGGAGGTGGGGGTGCGGCCCCTCCGGCCTGGCCGCCCCCCGGCCCGGCGGGGCTGAGCCGCGGGGTCAGCACCCCGAGAATAAGGCTTGGCTTTTGCTTTTTCTTTTTTTTTTTTTTTTTTGAGTGAGGCTCTTGAGCTGGGTCTTGAGCTGACACGGAAATAAATACGAATGTTTTAACGCGTATCTCGCCAAGTGTTTCAAGTCCCGGTGACTGTGGCCTTAACAGCCTTCCTGTGTGAGAAACAGCTTTACAAATACATGAAGTTTCACAGCTGAGACGAAAAATGGAAGCTTTCTGACCTCCCTTTGAGCAGAGGGGGCGCTTGCAATAGAGATTTACTACTTTTGTACGTGACCTACAAACATAAAGGTGTACTTTTGCCCTTAAAAAATAAGAAACTATTATAATAAGTTTGAATTTTGAGGGAGACAAATTAAAACAATGACCATCTTAAAATAGATTTGCAGACCTGTTTGTAAGGAGAGAAGTTCAAGGCAGGGGATGCTGTCAAGAGCAGTGAGAATGCTCAGGATTGGTATGCTCATGGTTTTTTTAACAGGTAGAGCTGCTTTGGTTGAGATACTGTTAATTGTTTGATTAGCTCTGAAATTATTTATGTTTTGATGTAGTTACTTCTGTGTTCCCTTGAGAATACCTTTAGTCTTACAGAGTGTTTATAGTCACGACCGCTACCATACAAAGGGCTTGGTTTTGTAGCATATACTGACTTCTCTTTCAGATGGATGTCCATGGCAAGATCAGAGAAGTTCTTGCTGAGACTATACGTGAAGAGTTAGCACCTAGGCATCAGCAGTTATCCACAGAAGATCTGATAAAAGCCTTAAGACAACGAGGAATCATTGATGACGTTATGAAGGAACTTAAATTTGTAACTGTAAGTAGCTTCTGAAGAGTGAAAATATTTTTGCTTATTTGTCTTACTGACTTGATGTTTTGAGAAAGTGAAAATGCACTACTTTTAAAGGTGTATAATAGCTTTACTGATTTGTGACTTATTAGGAGCAGAACAGCTTAATGCATGTGCTAAAATTGGTTTAATGGTAATACTACATTGAAAGTATTTGTTCAGTTTTGTTACATCTCAAGAACTAGAGGACCTGAGGAATGACATTCAGTTGAAATGGAGGATTCTTTAATTTTTAGAAGACTGTGGTAGGAGCACTGTTTCATCCCTTGATGCCTTAAAAAGTCTTAATTATAATTCCAGGATGTGAATGAAAAGGAGAGGACTTCAGCTCCGAAACCATCAACACATATTGTTAACAGAGAACCACCAGTTTTGGAAAAAAGTATGTAGCTTCTTTATTTTAATATTTGTGTCATAGTCTCGAGAGAAATTTGAAGTATATGATTTTTGAGCTTTAAATTAGTAATCCAGTATGGACTGGCATAAAGGGGGGTGTTTTTCCTGATTATCTACAGAAGTAAATTCATGTAAGCAGAAGAAATTAGTGTTGCATAAAACATGACCTTTTTTAAAAAGGTAATTTATTTTACATGAAGATAACTTCCATACATTTTAAAATCGCTTTCTCCTAAGCACTTGTTTCAAAGTTTGTTTTTTCTAATCTCCTGCTAGTTAACTGTTACTTAACGTGCTTCCTAAGATCTGTTTGTAGTCTGTTCATTTTTATTGCTACGCTTTACAGCTAACATTGACCCAACACGGAGGTATCTTTACCTTCAGGTTTTGGGTGGAAAAGCTTTTTTGGAACATCTTCAAGAACCAGAGCCTCTGCCTGGCCAAATCTGTTCTACCTTCACTCTGTGTTTACATTTTCGAAACCAGCGCTTCCGTTCTAAACCTGTACCCTGTGCCTGTGAGCCAGATTTTCATGATGGTTTTTTACTTGAAGTACACAAGGATAGCCTAGGTAAGGAATTTTGTGGGTTTAACGCTGATGTTACTGGGTTTTTTTCTGACTTCAGAGTTACTGTGAAATATGTTTGATATTAAGTGGCTTGCTTTCCTATTTTTTATCATGTTTTCCTAAAGAAACTGATTACTCTATTGGGTTGTGCCACTTAAAGACTTTTTTTCTGTACTCCTGCCTCTTCTTTTCCTCCTCTTTCACTCTCAAATAACTTTTGAGTTTGACCAACTTCATCCATAATTGACAGATGATAGTGTCAGAGATGGTAAGAAATACCAAGGTGGCTGTGATTTTCATTAACTTTGTGCTGACTAGTGAAGAAGGGAAATGTAAATTATATTGTCATATGGAAGGAGAAACTTCAGTGTGAGTTCAGGTTGTCTACCAGTTGGCAAACACTTGCGGAAGAGTCAGTCATTCACAACCTGTATTACTGTTCTTCTGTTGGTAACCAGGGAATATGGTAGGAGCTAAGTATGTTCTGAAAAGACTTCTGCATATTGTTTGAATCCTGTAGAAATCCAGGTAGCTTATGGAATATTAGGGAACAGAGAGAAAGCCAGAATTATTGCAGTTGGACTTGAGGAAGGGAGTGAATATACCACAAATTCAAAGACCACCAGATTTTGTTAATTCTGCTCCTCATGGAGCAGTTTATATTGCAGGATCGAGCTTAACTAGAGAGAAAGCGTTTTCCTCAATACTGATGGATAGTAAGTTGACCTGACACATTCCAGCTTATTAAAAGAATATTTTTCCATTACTTTTACTTAATGGTGCTTTAATATTCTTTATTTTCTTAAATGCTAATTCCGTTTTAATTTTTGTGCAGTTGAACCAGTTACATTGGAGTACTCAACTATAGGAATCTTTTTATCTCCTCTGTAAACTAACTGTAGTCTTTCTGTAGCTCTGTCCTAAATTGAGTTTGATTTTAAGATGGGATCATTGCTTATACCTCCTGGATACAAGATTGTTCTTAAAATGCAATGTCTGCGTTGAATGTAAATGCATACCTTTTAATTTTGAGGAGGACTTGGATTGATAATATTCTTGCTATCTTATCTTGGTTTAATAACGGCAGGTGATGGAAGTAAAATGGTGGATGCAACCACTATGTTATCTATTTGCGATCCAGTGCATATGGTTCTGATCAAAACAGACACGTTTGGTGAGACAACACTAGTAGCATCCTATTTCTTGGAGTGGCGATCTGTCTTGGCTGCAGAGAATGGCATAACAAATGTTGCTGTTGAACTCCTGGGTGTAGGTAAGGATAAATAATAAGGCTGAAATGGTGACTTAAAATATTGGGTACCAAGCTTACTTATAAGCTTAAAGCAATATTTATGATGTAGTTTAGTTTTTAGTTCAATTTATAAATTACCATAAGCTATCCTTAGAAAATGTGTAGGAGACAAATGGTTAGATTTTTTTGCTACTGAAACACTAAAAATGTGTGTTCTGGATCCTGTGTAATAATGGCCCCCATGTCTGGGAACACCCACTATTGATTTTCTGCAAAATCTGAATAAGTTATCAAAAACAAAGTGGCCAACCAAAAATCAACTGGTTAATCTCCATTAATATATCAGACCTGTGCACTGAAAAGTAAAGTCTAGCTTCTGTTCCTTTCATAGCGAACTAGCAACTGATAGAGGATGTGATCTCTGCTGTCCTGCTATTTATTGCAGTAGCTGGAAGCCTGTTTTCTGACAGAAGGGTTGAACAGCTTTGTTTCAGTGCTTAGCAGTTAGTATACTGTGTATTTTTGTGTATCACTTGTCCCCACTCCCCTTTTTTGGAGTTCCAATCCAAGTTTTTAAGGTATTGTGATTTAGTGGATAAAGACTAGATTTAGGACTTAATCTAGCATGACTTCTTAGGCCAGGAGTTTGGTCAAGTAGTAGGTGCTGGCCAGGAGTTTAGTCGACTATCCTGGAGTTTGGTTGAGTAGTAGGTGCTGGGTCATCTGAGTATTCTTTATTGCACTTTGTTTACCTGTTATGTAGGTGAGCAGCTCTTGATAGTTTCAAAAGAGATTAAATTATACCTTCAAAATATTTTGAAGATTGGATATACCATGTAAATTATTCCTGCTTGTTATCACTATTGCCTGCTTTTTTGGGGGGATGATTTGGCGCAGTGTTTTTATCCAGTGAATACAAATCTGCTAAGCTTATTTGTCAATATACTTGCTAGGTTTATTTCCTTCTGATAATTCTGACACTGGCAAAACTTGAGTAAGCAATATGGGTTTGGGTAATCTCTCAGATGAAGAGCTTTTTATTTATAATAGATTAGAAATGCATAACAAATGAGTTTAATACTCAAATGGGTGATGGGAGGAGTTAAATCAAATTATCATTAGCTTTTTTCCAAGTAATGAAGTATCAATCCAAGAAATTCAGAGCTTTTTTTCCTCTAAAGTCCTGTAATGGTACAAAATGTATCAAGAACATCAAAGCATGCTGCCATCTCAGATAAATACCCAAACTATATGAGTCTTCTGTT